TTTAAAAATGATGTTACAGTATGCCGTCATACGGTAATTTTGGGCAAAAACAAAGAAAGCGAATGTTTTGTGCCTATCAGTGATTAAGTTGACCAATTTTCGTTCAATTCTGAGACACTGATTTTGACAATGTCCGCGCCAAACTACGATTTGTAATAAAACGCGTTTTAAAGAAAATCTGAGCGTCGCACTTGGGGTACTTCCCTTGTAAGCTAAGAAGTGTATGTTAGACTGTAAGAAATTGACATTTCACGCATACAAACTGTGTCATCAAAACTTGTGTTAACACTGAAAAAATAAGAATCGAAAATTATAAAATTTCAACTTTCAGCTTATAAAAAATGTACTTCTCGGGTCATAATGATATAAGCACAAGAGAATTGGACAGTACAGCGTCTATAGGCGCATGAACTCGCAAAAAATCTCTAATTTTCGTTAATTTTCGGATTAAAAAAAGACTTATAATTAGAGAAAGTAATCTACACGTGCGTCAAGTTTCTTTAAAATTCGAACGTCTCGCATCAAACAATTCCGCGGTTAGCCCACTAAAAAAGGAAAAAATATTACTCGCGTTGTCGAATAAATCTTGATCACTGACCAGTGATCGTTTCCGCTGTCCACGAGCGCCCGTTTCCCCGTCCATTCTCTCCCCCAATCATCTCTAATTACCACTTGTTCATCTTTCTCTCCCTCCCCGCAGCTTTCGCACGAACTCATCCGCCCGGTCCAGACTTCCAGGACAATTGGCCAACTTGAACCGGAAACGGCCGGTGCGCGAGACAATACGACCATTTGACCGATACCCCGAAAACACAAAGCGAAGAGGGTACACCGGGAAAACACCGCAGGGAAGGGGTGTTTGCATGGTCGGCGATTATTTGATAGGGCAGACGTTTCCCCCATTGCAACATAAAACCCGCAGGGGTTTTTGTTTTCCGTCCGATCACAACGAACTTTTGTATGGAGGCGAGAGTACAAAAGGATGACTAAATTTGGATAAGGGCCTAAATATAGAACATGACAAAGGGTTGTAAATTTCGGGGAAAGGGTATAGTTTGGGAATGACGTCATTGACCAGAAAAATAATAAAAAATAACGATAAATTTTTACTTTTATTGGCTTAAAATAGCGCAGGAAGTTCGAGGCTCAGATTTTGAGAAAACTCATAACAAATTGAAAACCGCTGCAGAACGTAACCTCTTTGCAGCAAAAAAATTTCAAAGGGCCCAAGGAATTTTCGGCGCAGAAGTTTGAAAAATCCAACAATTTTTTTGGGGATAATTTTGGCATGAAATTTTTTGGCCTTATTTCGACTGGGGAGGGCAAAAAAATCTACTTTTTTGCCCGAATTGGCAAATGCGTAGCCTCTAAAAAGCTTATTATTTTCATCCCCGCCCGATCTCCGCATTTCATACGCTCTTTCGTAAGAAAAGATTGTTGAATTTCCTGCGTCATTTCGAAAAGGTCATCCAAGTATAGAAAAAAATACATTTACCACTCCGTCAGGAAAACAATGATCAGTCTGTCGCATCGAAAACCGCAACACCACCGGTAAAATTAATTGCGTCGCCGTGGAAATAAAGTTGATTTTCAATGCAGAGATCGGTGCATCGACATTGCGCTCATTATTTTCCGGACAGAGTCACAAACGAGTGTGGATGATTTACAGGAAATGCAAGCGTCGCATTCGGAGTACTTTCTTGAATGTTCAAAAGCGTTGCGCTGTGTATTTTATACGGTAAAACCTGTATACAACAAATTCGTGCAACAGAACCATGGCTCTATTTTCCGAGAGATTTTTCAGATCTGGGGCCAAAAAGGACCTACGTACAACGAAACCCATCTATAACAAAAAAAATTGTCTTGACTCTATGCAATTCGCTGTACATGGGTGACTCTATTACCACCTTGCTCTGTCCCCAACCCATCAAATCCCTCGACAGCTTTTAAAAACAAATAAAAACAGACGAAAACCGCCACATTAAATAAAGGCATTATCAAAATTTCCGCTCACCTGAGCAGGAAAAACCAAAAAAAATTTCTCTCTCCCGCTCTCAGCTGACTGAAGATCAAGCCCTGGGGGCTTTTCCCCTTTTTGAAACAAGATTCTCTGATGCTATTTGTAATAAACATATGCTTGGAGCCCATGTTGACGGAGGTGAATCATTTGGAAAACACACTGGATTCGGAATTTTTTTTGGGGAAATCAGGCGGTGTTGTGTCTAAAAAACATTCCAAGGAAATGTCCGGAATTCAATTTTCAAACACTTTTTGGATTGAATTTTTATGTTTCATTCGAAAAATTAATGTCAATGGCAAACGATAAAAGCCATGTAGGGTTTATGACAGCTTTGGTATTATCTAAACTTTATACATTTTTTAAATGTACATGTATTACACAGCATTAAAAATCTGGCACAAAAAATCTCATGTCTATTTCAACTGTAGAGCGTAATGTTTCCACAAAACTTCAATTTTTTCGCACAAAATTGGCAAATTTATGGGCAAAAAGTGAGAGCTTCCTCTGTGACCGCTTTCCACGTTTTGCACACTTTCTCGGCCGCAAAGATCGTTGAATATTTCAGCTGAATTTGCAAAGGAAAAGCTAAAATTTGTAGAAATTATGGATTGGCCTAGCCTCGAAGTCTACAAAAAACTTAAACAAGATCTGAGCGTCGCACTTATGGTACTCGTCAGTCCAGCCCGCAGGCTCAATTGCTAACAATTGTAAGCCCAATTTTAAGCCGATTATAACATTAAGGCTCAAAAACTATGACTAGATTATTGTTAGTCGTTTCGGTCGAAAGGCGCCGCCAAGTTTGAGAAATTTCCTTAAAAGGAAGTCTCAAATCTGCAAGATGTATAATACATATTTAAACCTTCGTAGCCCTCACAAGTGATGAAAATTGTATAGCCAAGAAAGTTTAACGACAAAATCTCAATGACTAACCGAACTAAGCCAACAGTTTTTTCCTCCAAAAAACTATGAATAATCACCCTATGTGCAAGAATGACAAAGAGAGCAACAAGAAAGACCAATATTGCATAACAAAATAATAAAAATTATTTTTTTTTTCGGACGAACAAAAACTTTTTTACAATAAAACGTGCACGAATATTGCAAGAAAAACATGATTTTCACCTCGGAGATTCGCTTGTTGTCCAAACAATCCGAAGATTTCGTGTTGAAACCCCTTAACGTTCCGAGCCGTATTCAAAATTGCATTCAAATTGGCTCGAGACGCCTTCCCGCGGCTTTAATGGCATTGCGTTTGTTTGGAAATGGTGCTGACGACTTTTTGCAAAATGGGAACAATCGTCGAGGAATGCCAATTAGAACATTGGCATTTGAAAAAAACCCAATTACAGGAAAAGTAAATCTAGCCTCTGAACAGTATCTGATCGTGAAAAATCAAGTATTAAAAATAAAAAATAAAAAATTGTAATTTTTTCAAAAAAAAAACTATTTTCTGACAAAAATCGAGCATGATATGATGATGCACAACATACCTTGTATAGATGCATTTCCTTTCCCGTGATTTTTCAGGCTCAAAATAAACAAAGGCTCGCCAATTTTAGATGTTTCGAGCGTTTCAATTACGTCGCAGCCGTTAGAAGAAACGAATATACAATTTATGGGCAACAATACAATAAAGGGCCTGAATTTTGCGCCTACGATTAAACCGCTACACTTCAAGATTTTTTTCAACAAGTTTTTACTCGAGTCGATCAAAGAGTCCGTGACTTTCATCTGGCCCGTGTAGTGCTCCAGATCTTGCTCACTCGCAAAGCCATTGAAAATCTCAGCGGCACCGTTTTCAGTAGTGTTGATGTATGTATATCTGGTAAAAAGTTATTCCAAATACAGTGGGGTCCTGATCCAATTGCAAAAACATACCATTTTGCATACGGGAAGTATCAAAAAAGTTGCAAAATACCTCCCTCCCCAAGTGAAAAAACTACGATTTCAAAAGCATGCCCGCTTTTTTGGTGGGGAAAAAGGGAGCGCCCTTCAAAACGAAGTTTTTTCACTTAGAGAGTGAAGCATTTTGCCACATTTTTGATACTTCCCGGATGCAAAATGGTGCACTTTTTGCCACTGTATCAGGTTCCCCACTTTATTATGAATGCCAGGCTTCTTCGAGCTTTGTGCGCACTTCAGCAACTTCTCTTGTCAAATCTGGCGTTTTGACACTTGGAGGCTACCATCCGTGCAGCCGACATTTATGGATTATTATAGAAGCACGATTTATTCAACCGCAATCTACGCAGCATGATAGAAATTCTAAAAATGGTTCTTGCGCCTTTGAAAATGCCTGGTTAACCTTATGTGTAGCAACTATTCAAGCCACTTATATGTCAGCAAACTTAATTCACAACATCTAATAACATCTAGCTGCCAAATGCATCGTTAGAGTTTCCTGTTCTAAGAAAATGTTGGTTGATTTCCAATCGTGTCCGCAAAATCTCCGTGGTTTTTGTAGCCGCTCGCAAAGTGGTCGTCCGCAAGTGTGCGTCCACCCAAATTTTTATCTTATATCGTCCTTTATTATTTCCCAGGCAACAAACTTATTTTTGGATATGTATTTTTGAAATGTATTTTCTATTCCAGAGAACACTTTGGTAACTCACCTACACGCAATTGACCTCACTGCACTGTCGAACAAGTTGATTTAATTTACTGCTGTGAAAAGATTTGTCTCCGTTTTGTTTGACCAAGTTCGCCACACGTGTTTCGCCGAATTGGATAAGTGTAAATTGAACGGCCACGCTACAAACTTGAGTATTTCCCTTGCACGTAATGCCAGCTATACCGTAATGTAACGCCAACCCAACGTTTTGTGATTTCGTTTGTTTTACCTACGGCAACACGCACTTAAGGTTCATTTGAGCCGTATATAGAGGAGTGCGGGCCGCACTTTAAGTCATTATGTGAGTCTTGCCGGGACACGAATGTGTTATACACTACCTTCTTTGTGGTACATATCCTATCCTTTACAATGCAGTTTACTCCGGAGAATATTCCAGCTCTTGAGGAGGCGGCCAAGATCCCAAATTTGTTGCTGATGTTTGTCAGCTTAATTGGGATGATTGGGAATGCAAATATTATCAGCGCGACATACCGACGAAAGTAAGTGTCTTGATTTTATTGCGAAACCTTCGTAGTCTTGTTGAAGCGCATAGTTTTGTCGTTCGACGCTCTTTAAACTTTCGGACGGCAGGATAATTGCCACTTGACCAAATTGTTTCGTAACCATATGTAAGTTGCATACAGGCTCGACTGAGAAGTGCCCAAATGTTCTTTAAGTTCTGCACACACTTTCCGCATGAACCACATCCCAACCCCTGAAAGGTACAGCTCGCACTTTACAAGGGCAGTTCAGATACGCAACGATCTTTGCGGCGGAGAGAGTACGCGATACAGCAGAGAGAAGAACACTTTTTGATCATAAGTTTCGTGGCAAAAAGTTTGGTCTATGTATGTGGAAACATTGCAATCCCATGACAGAAATGAACATCAAACTTGTCATCTCAAAAGTCACTAGAAAGACCCACAATTGCCATGTTCCGGCCTTAAATCAGTCTTTTTCTGCAGAAAGCTTAGCAGGAGCCTCGGATATACAGAAATTAGAAACATTTACTCGGAAATTGTATAATTAAATGTGCAATTGCTAGGCCCATTTTTCTTTGGTTACTGCTACAATGGCGGACCTGATCCAGTGGCAAAAGCGTACAATTTTGCAACCGGAAAGTACATACAAAAAATAAAGGAAAATACCTCTCTTTTCAAGTGAAAAAGCTCTTTTTGTGAGGGCAAGGGTGCGCTATTTTTTCGATCAGAGAGGGAAGTATTTTGCTACATTTTTTTTGATACCTCCAGGATGGAAAATGGTAAGTTTCTGCTACGGGAACAGCTTCGTCACTGTATCTGCCCGGCCTTCTCATTGACTTCCTCACAAATTTTAGCTGTGGTGTTGTAAATATCTTGGTGTATTTTGCTATGCTTTGTTTCAGATCTCTCCGCTCTCCTTCCAATATTTTCATTGCATTTACTGCATTTGGCGACTTTCTACATGAAACTGGTAATATTGTTTCGGGTTATCTTGCCTTTACCTCAAATTGGGTATTGCCCCTCGACACTTGCTTCAACATTCAATTTGTCTTCACTTTCGGCACAGGTATCTCTGCCATCATGTTGTTCCTGACCGCGTTGGATCGGCTGGTCTGCGTTCTCTTTCCTCACAAGTACAACAAGTGGAGCAAGTCGGTAATTATAAGCGGTGGAATTACGATTTCGTTTCTGGCTGTTGCGCTTTACATTTTCTATGGGTATTTGCACGTGGAAAAAGCATATCGCTATTGCAAAGTGTGGTCGGAGCTTCCGTTCGATTTGTCAACAATCTTCTTCGTCGCAGGCACCATTTTCGTTTTGCTTACAATTATATTTTACGTTGTGATTTGGGGCGTCCTGCGGTATAGAAACTATCAAAATTCGAAGCAAATGCTCCGCTCAATTACTGCAGTCAGCATGTGCATCTGCAGTGGATGGTTGAGCAGTATGCTTATTATATCGTATTTCCTGGTGGTCCAACTGGCGGACGATTACAACACCGTCTTGTATTCGGGGTTACCAATGGAAATTTCGGTTGCATTGAACTATCCGCTGCTTTACAGTATGAGGTGTGTGTTTTGTAACTAAAGAGGTTTGGTATCTTAAAATCTGTGTGATTATAGTTTTTTTTAGCCGAGAGTACAGGGCCGCATTCCGACGGCAATTGCATTCCTTCACACTCGGGTTCCTCTTCATCGAAACGAAAACAGAATCTCAGGTCATTGCACTCTCATAGTATAGACTTCAAGAAGGTGTTTTTAATCTTCGATGGGCCAATTTATAGTTGCCAAGCCACAATGAGACAAAACGTGTTGTATTACGAACGAACATTGAAGAAAAGTTGAAATAAAGGAGCTGTTGAACTTGCTGATTTCGCGCATAAAAAAGACTCTGGACTCGAACTTAAGAGCCACAACATACTTGTCGCCTTGCGCTGAAGTGTTTGTTGGCTTGATTGACCGCCTACAGTTGTCTTAAAATAATCGCTGACACAGTGAATTCTACTCCTACTCGATGCCATCTTGACAGTCACTATAAATAACTGCACGTGAGACACTATCTATCAATAGAAAATCGTATTGCTTTAGTGGTAGACTTGACACGGTGGCAAAAAAGGTACCACAGTGGCGTCCTGATTCAGTGCCAAAAACGAAACATTTTTCAAAATGAATGTATCAAAATATAGTTAAATATCTCCCTCTCCAGGTGAAAAAGCTCCAATATCAAAAAGCGTGCCCGCCCTTTTCGTGAGCGAACGCTCTTCAAAACCGGTTTTTCTAGAAGGCATTTTGCTACATTTTTGATATTTCCTGGATACAAAATGGTACGTTTTTTGCCATGGATCAGGGCGCCACTGGATCTGCATTCGAGAAGTATCAATACAAAAATATCGTTTAAAAGGGAGCGCCCTTTCCTTATCAAAAATAGCGTTTTAAAATCGGAGTCCTTTCACTTGAAGGGTGAGGTGTTTTGGCTGTGTTTTTGATACTTCCAGGAGGCAAAATGATATTGGTCTTTTGCCACTGGATCTCGCCACTTCCACAGTGCTTTGTCGTTGATGACATCTGCTGGCTGCTCCGCTCCCGCAAAATTTTTGCTCCTCTCTATTTTGAACTTTGAAACAACCCAGCAAACCTTCATATGACCGTTTGCGTATAGCAGGTTTTTTCTACGTATAAAATGTTCAACAGCTCCTTCATTTACAGCCTCATGTTATGTTTGTTCGTATTACAACTTATCTTGTTTACTTGTAGACAAGATAAGCAGTTCTATGTAAAATGGCCTATCGAGGAGTAAAGACATCTTCTTAACATTATACCCAATCTCTCATCAGAATGACGCAGTCAACACTAGCACTGTTTATTCCTGAGGAAAACTTGTCAAAAGCTTGTTATGACATATTATGTATACAATTGGTAAAAGGCGCTACATAAATATTATGAAACTGCCATGACCTGAGATTCTGTTGTTTTTGCTTTGACGAAGAGGAACCCGCATGTAATGGAACGCAAATGTTCGCGAAATGAAGCTCTGTACTCTCGGCTGAAAGAAATGATCATGTTCAAATATTAAAATTCAAATGCTTGTGTTCGCAAAAATGTTTTGGTGATATCTAGCTCTGGGTTACAGTATTTGAGGAAACGTTTTGGACGAATAAATGGCGACCGTCAAACAGTATGTTCACGATAAGAATATGGGCATAACTTTACGGAAACTTTTTTTCTCGGAGGCTCAAGTTGACCATGTCCCGATGGCAATTCTCAAAAGTTCACCATTCGAAAAGCTAGGCATCCCTGCCTCTTTTGCCGTCAGCACTCACCTCATTCTGTAGAGCAATGGATAGTTCAATGCAACCGAAATCTCCATCGGTAACCCCGAATACAAGACGGTATTGTAATCGTCCGCAAATTTGACAAACAAGAAGTACGCCCCAGCAAGCATACTCGTCAGCCATCCGCTGCAGATGCACATGCTGACTGCAGTAATGGAGCGGAGCATTTGTTTCGAATGTCGATAGTTGCGATGCTGGAGAAGGCTCCAAATTACAATGTAGAATAGAAGTGTAAGAGAGATGAACATGAAGCCGAAAAAGAAGAAGATTCTTAACAAAAAGGTGGGAAGCTCCGACAGAACTTTGCAAAAGCGATATTCTTCTTCCAGATTCAAATATGCGTAGATGCCGAACATGGCAGGAACACCAAACGAAAAAATAGTTCCGCTGGTTACAATCGTCGATTTACTCCACTTGTTGTATGTGTGAGGAATACCCACGCAGACCACACGATCCAACGAGGTCATGAACAACATGACGGAAGAAAGTGCTGTGCCGAAAGTGAAGATAAACTGGTATTTGAAGCAAGTGTCGAGGGGCAATACCCAGTTTGAGGTAAACACAAGATAACCCGAGACAATATTACCAGTTTCATGAAGAATGTCGCCAAAAGCAGTAAATGCAATGAAAATATTGGAAGGAGATCGGAGAGATCTGAAAAGAAGCCATAGAAATTACACCAAGATGTTTACAATACCATGGCTTGAATATTTAAATAGCGAGCATGTCTTTGAAATCGGCGTTTTTTAGGGAGGCATTTGACTACATTTTTCTATCAAGACTTCTATGACATCACAGCTGCAATTTATGAATGCCAGAGCCAATTTCAACAACCGATAACACGTCCTGCTTTGGTCGTATTAAGGCAACTCTTAGCTTTGATAGCAATGCACAGCGTTTCGAACACTTTTTCCGCCGCCGATCGGTGTCGAAAAAAGAAGTTTGTATACGTGGAAAGGCAATCTCTTATAGTCGAATAACCACTTTTTAGTTTAGTTACATCTATTGTGGCTAGCCAAATATACACCGACTTGTAAGCACTACTTTTCATTTTTTCCTTTTTTCGACACCGATCGGCGGCGGAAAAAATGTTCGAAACGCTGTGCACGGCAGCCCAGGGAGTCTCCCGCCTCGTTTCGGCACTTCGCCCACCTAGTATCGGTTGAATTCAAACGAAATGTCAAAAATGAATTTTTCGTGTGGTTTTCCGACCGAAAAACATTTTTCTCGGAATTATTTTATTTCTTTTGTGAATTTTGACACTTCGTTTGGACGAAATTCAAAAGTGGGCGGGAGACATTTTTGTTCTATTTTGGGTTGCCGTGCTGTGCAACGTGACGAAACTACCTTTTTTTGACATGTAACTTTCCTTTTAACGCACTATTTCAAGGTTGTCAGTGCCTTCAGTTGAAATGGGTGTTATTGTGTCATACGTTCCTAACAACCTTTCCATGGGATGAACAACTCCGTAAAGTTACTCAATACGGCAACCTCCCCTTCCCCGTGCCGATTTTCCAGTTAGGGTTAAAAAAAGCCCGGCGACAAAATGGATGACACTTACCTCTTTCGGAATGTCGCAATAATAATATTGAGATTTCCAACAATCCCAATTAAACTGATACCCATCACCAACGAGGTCGGAAATTTGCTCGCCTCTTCAATTAATGGAATGTTTGCCGGGATAAATAACATTGTTGAAGAAAGGCTTAAGTGTACATCAATAAAAACATGGTAATTCATTCGTATGCCGACTGTAATTCACACAAGGACTAAACGTGGGTTCCACATTGTTTTACTTGTGTTTGTTGCCATAGACATGACAAGTCGGAAAGGCGTTACATTGCCACTGGCATTACCAAAGGAATTCAGATTTGTAGTTTCGACGTTCAATTGACACCTAATCTTTTCTCGAAGAATGTGCGTTGTTAACGTACATTTTTTCGTATCCCATGGTTCAGGCGTCGATAAATTGTGGACCTAATTTTGGGTCGCCTTAAATCAGCGTCTTGCCGGATCGAAAATTTGTGGCCAAATGGAGAATTCTGTAGGCCGTTATGGATCCAAGACCTCAAGCCAGCGTCAAAAATAACAGGAACATTCAAAAACGGCTTTTTTAGATCAATTCATTCATGTCTGGCTCACTTTTCTGACTCTTCTGTTTTCTGATCGTTGGTGTCCGCTTCTTTTATGTGGAAAGCCTCTTTACATATTTAGCTACCGTGCTATGATCCCTTTGCTAGCCCTTCCGGAAAGTCGCCGGATTGATTTTTGATGGTTCCGCTGTGCGAAAAACGTCAAGCCACGAGCGACAACCGAAAAAAGCCTATTGCGAGGCACGTCAAGCTGAGACAACCCAAAAACGTTCCGGTTAACGGATTGGCAAATCGCCAAAAAACACGAAAAACTAAAGCTTTTCGTAGAGGAAGAAATGGGGAATTGTTGGGACGAGAGAGTGTCTTTTCTCTGACTTCTCTGTCAATTCAAGACAAAGTGTAAAAAACCGATAACGAAGGGTCTGTTCCGCTCACCGGTTTCCCCAGTTTGACATGCAAGGTGCAAAAAGCAATAAAATGCACAGTGCAAAGAAAGCTTTCGTTTTCTAACAGTATACGTGTCCCGGTTCCACTCTGATGACTCTCCGGAAAGGGCTAGTATCCCACCGCTTTAACAGTTACGCGTTACTTTCCTCACAATTGTCAGACGCATTACAAAAATGTTTTCCATGATGCTTAATTGACATTTATTGCCATAAATCAAAAGTTTTGACAAAAAAAGCATTATAAATAATCATCAAACTCTATTTCAATAAAACCACAATTCCTCATTGATCTTGCGAAAAATTGCGCCGTAAGTTTTGCCAATCTCCGACTCCTCGTACCGCTGCATGTCCTTTACTTCCATGAAGTTCTTGTTGTAAGTTTCGGGGATTCGCATGTCGAACAATCCCATGCAGGTTTCACTCTGAGGGTTGTGTGCATCAAATATCTTCTCCTCCTTGTGATTCCGTTGAATAAAGTAGTATGGAAGGAAGGTAAAGAGCTTCAGGATCTCTCCAGAATACGGGCAGAACACGTTCATGTGGTAGAAAACGCATGGAAGAAATTGGTCGACCAATGGGCTGTAAATTATGTAAAATTGCAAATTTAAAGAAAGTCTTCCAAGTGCAATGTTCAGATTTTGTATAAATTACAAAGAAATGGCGCTACGTGTTTTCGGGTCAGCGACTGTTCGGGACAACGATAACTGCGCCGGTTCGCCGTTGTATGGAGGCCAGGAGAAGGCTTAGTTAGTCGAGATAATAAGCTTGATAGGGTCCTAGGATAGCTTGTCACCTATTTTGAGGCATTTTACATGTACTGACAGCAATAACACCTAGATAAAAGTTACGGATTTTCGTCTTTTCCGCAAGTTTTTGTCTTATACGTCAAAATAATAACTCAGGATAAAGAAGACTATCATTAGTAATAGCGAAAATTATAAAGAATACACATATTGAAAGCCTTCGCCAAGTCTCCGCCGAGCCTTCGCCGACCATCCAACGGCTTTGCCAGGCCCCGTAGGCACTTCTTACACCGACAAATTTAGCAATCTTACACTGTCCTTTTTCTTCCCGAGACAGGTTTAAAGTCGGGTCCCTCTGTTTGGCACTTAAAACCAAGATGATAGTAAATCGGTATGCGCATGAAAATCTAGGACTAGGACAGAAAAACAAAGAGAATTTAATGGTATGAAAAATATTTTGCTACACCTAAAAGTTTTCGCGGCAGGACCCATGAAAAAGGTTGCATTTTTTATTTTTCACCCTGTATACAACATTTTTAGGCGTGCACCTGTCCTACGCCCCGTATCGATCGATTTTGTTGTAGACCCGAAAAGTCGAGACGCGAAAAAAATTGCTGAATTACAGATAATTTGGCTACGAACGTTCACATTGACTTACAAACAAGCTTCTTTCAAAACTAGATTGCGAAGTCGCTTCAATGTCACACCAACTTTTACCGCGCACATTTGCTGCACATCAGTGAGATATGTGAAGTAGCACGAGTCTAGCTCTGAATCACGTCGTCGAATCTCCATGATCTGATGACAAGTCCGGTAATAATCGTTGCTCTTGAAGTGGACTGGAATAAAAAAAGCAAAATTAGGTGTTGACGCCAACTTACCATCGTTTACCGTGCAATCCTGCAAGAAGTTAAAGACCCGCCCATTGCGCCTGAAAAAATCAGGGTATTAAATTTTTAGGGGTATGTCTCGAAACAAAATATATTTTTTTTCAAATTATGGCCTATAAATGTACCAGATCCGTAGCAGATAAATTACCAAAAATTTTAGCTTCGCAGGAGCAAAAATTTGTGTCGCAAAAAAATTCAATGCGACACTGTTGCTAAATTTGAGCAAAAAATATTATTTTGAAGACCGCCACGTCTTTAGTGACTAATCGCCCAAAAGAGATGATTTCTTCATGGACCAGGCCAAAAATTTTGAGATTGCCTTAGCACAACATTAATTTGATTTATAATAGACAATTTTTTGTAGGAACTCGTTTTTTATCCCCTCAACTTACGAGCAAATCCGCCTGAATTCGTTCCTGACCAGATTTTGCAAGGTGTAGACAATCTCGTATTTCAGAACACTGCAATTGTCCGGGTAGAGCGTCGCTGTTGTAGCGTCATTAACCGTTGCTGGAGTTTCATTATTTGTTGTTGCAGTTGCACTAGTCGTTCTTACAGTTTCATTAGCCGTTGTTGAAGTTTCACTAGTCGTTAATGTAGTTTCACTAGTCGTTGTTGCAGTTTTATTAGCTACAACTGGAGTGACACATTGAGCTGGGCCAAAAAACACTGTAAATAGCAGAATAGTAGAGAATAAGGCCTTCATAAATACGACCGAAATGGTAGGGAAATGAGAGAAAATGAAAAAGATAATTTTCTGATTTTAAAAATTTTTGAGTCAAATAAAATTTTGCAAGGCGCGCTTTATTGGATTTCATTTTTTGCGGTTGCTTTCCGTGGACTGAAATTTAGCGAAAGATTTGACGAAATTTAATTGTAAGGCAAAAAAGAGTGTAGGAAATGAAGAGAGGCGGTCAGAGAAAAAATTGAGTTTGGGGAATATCTCTCTTGACAAATTTCCTTTTTAAAATAAGTTTCAGATACTTTTCCCGGCTCTTGTTTCTGTTGATCCTGGTTTGCTAGACATTTTTGCATTTTTTTAAAATAATTTAATGAAATTTAAAAAAAGAATGACTCTATTCAAAAGTATAATCACTTGAAAACTTTTTGCCTTAATCTTTGATATAAACGACTAACCTTTAAGCGGTTTTATGCCTTCTACTTTGTCCCACAAATGAACTTGATTCCTCAAAAAACTTGCCGCAAAAATGCCATTTCACCCCGTGCTGTTTATATTATTTACCTCAACAAGCCGCAACTTGGTGTAGTCGAAATCGTATCACTACTAAAATTAACTCGAAACGGTTCCGTTTCCAGCTGCTCCCCAACGATTTCCCTCCGTGTTATCACCGAGTTTCCGGCCTAACTCCTCCCTTCCCAAATGTTTGTGGAAGGAACGCCTTTATTTTTGATGACAAGTCAACACACTAGGTGCAAAGATAATGGCGGTGTGCAGGAGTGTGGCTTTCGTTATCGTCGCTTTCTTCTTGGGGTTTGCGAGCTTTATTTACTATAAAAGTGTAAGTCGAAATTTGCTGGTGGTCACGGGGTAAAAAGTGGCGCTAGATATGGTCTTTGGGCCGGAATGGGCCGATTTTGGTTATTATGTAAAGGTTTTATGTAAAAGGTTCTTTTTTATGATCCGAAAATCGCTTGTATCTTGAATCAACGGGTTTTGCGCATGAATTTCATGAAAAACGTCCGTATTTTCTTATCTTCGGTGGACTTTTGCTTTTATCAGACATCGAAAATGTCGGCTGTGCCCCAAAAAAATCAGAGAGGAATCTATTCGGTGTAGATATCATGCTAGAACATAAGAATCAGATCTGGTTGCTGCTGCTGCCGCTAGAAAATACCAGTAATTTTCCTTTCTATTTATAATAGATGATGAACACAATTTAATGTTTTGTGGACCTACAGTGGACCTTCCAGTGGCGAAAAACGTATCAGTTTGCATCCAAGAGGCATCAATGTGGCAAAATACCTCCCTCTCCATGTGAAAAAAGTCAGAGTTTAAAATCGCTTTTTTTAAAAGACGATTTCTGAGTCAGTGCGTCAGCCGTGGACATAGAAAAAAATCGATTTTGAGTTTTTTGCACTAAAATGGCTGTTGGAAGGTGCTAAGCAAAAGCGAACAATATTTTTTCCCAAAACCTTCATCAAGGTATATTTTTTTACAATTTACTGTTTTAGAAGTAACCGCGTCCAGCTGTCGTATCTTACCTTACTGGACGATGATTTGACGGTTACTGAAGTTTTCGACCCTTGCGATGACGATGGTATCATTATTTTTCCGATTTTCCTACTGTAACATGCCGTAATAGTGTATCGACCGCTAAAAAACGACCGTAGAATCTTTCATTCTGAAAATTTCACAGGCGATTTTACGATTTTTGGAATCAGCATAAAATTCTGCTCTAGAGGCAATCAAAAAAAGTTCAAAAAAAGCTGCGACAAATTTCGTGGTATAGTGGTTAGTGGTCGGGACTACCAATCCAGCGACCTTGGTTCGAGTCCGGCTGGGTGCGAATATCGAAAAGAAGTCGGAAATTAAATTTATTGTGATTCAGAGGATTGTATATTTTGCCACGAGCAATTATTAATGTCAATGGTAGCTGGATTCGAGGTTAAAACGGGATTTATATAATTTTAGGGGCTCAATACATGAAAAAATAAAAGTGCTTCAAACCGGTTGAAATTGATAATACTTATTCTAAGGGCTATTCTAAGACACTTTCTCGTTAACTTTTTTTGGTAGCTTACTGTTCCATGCACTACAGTAAGATAAAGATTTTGTACTTAAGCGGGATTTTCTTCAAGATTGTTGTATCCAGTCTCGAGTTTTTTTGACTAGGTCGTTCAAACAGCAACGAAGGTCCACTATAGGTATACAAAATAAATTTCCGCTTCACCTCCAGTGTGTCTTGATATCATCGCTATCTGACAAAACTTCGTGAAATAACCCGGTTGTTTCAAACTGTGCGGCCATAAAAAAATTTTGTATGCAAACCAACTCGTTATTAACCATCTCTATCAAGATGGCCACAGTCCGAGCTGTCTACGCCCCGTGGTATGCGAAAAATAAAATTGGATTTCATGTCACAGTAATCCATGTTACTGTAAGTTACGAAAAAAAGTTAACGAGAAAGTGTCTTAGAATAGCCCTTAGAATAAGTATTATCAATTTCAACCGGTTTGAAGCACTTTTATTTTTTCATGTATTGAGCCCCTAAAATTATATAAATCCCGTTTTTTAAAATTAAACCTCGAATCCAGCTACCAATGACATTAATAATTGCTCGTGGCAAAATATACAATCCTCTGAATCACAATAAATTTAATTTCCGAATTCTTTTCGATATTCGCACCCAGGCGGACTCGAACCCGGGTCGCTGGATTGGTAGTCCCGACCACTAACCACTATACCACGAAATTTGTCGCAGCTTTTTTTGAACTTTTTTTGATTGCCTCTAGAGCAGAATTTTATGCTGATTCCAAAAATCGTAAAATCGCCTGTGAAATTTTCAGAAAGAAAAATTCTACGGTCGTTTTTTAGCGGTCGATACAGTATTACGGTATGTTACAGTAAGAAAATCGGAAAAATAATGATACCATCGTCATCGCAAGGGTCGAAAACTTCAGTAACCGTCAAATCATCGTCCAGTAAGGTAAGATACGACAGCTGGACGCGGTTACTTCTAAAACAGTAAATTGTAAAAAAATATACCTTGATGAAAGTTTTGGGAAAAAAAATATTGTTTGCTTAGCACCTTCCAACAGCCATTTTAGTGCAAAAAACTCAAAATCGATTTTTTCCTATGTCCACCCCTAACAGACGGCTGATGCACTGACTCAGAAATCGTCTTTTAAAGAAAAATGGCGCGCCCTTCAAAACGAATTTTTTCCACTTGGAGAGGGATGCATTTTGCCACATTTTTGATACTTTTTTGCAAAATGGTGCGTTTTTTGCCGCTGGATCAGGTCTCTCACTGTATTACAGTTTTTTACACATGTGCTCTATCCTTTCTAGGAGATCATCCTCTCCACCAATCTATACTACAACTATGACTTGAAAAGTCTCAATAACGCAATTCAAGACGCGTTTTTGCCAGATATTGAAAGTGAGGCTGATGATCACATTGAGACTGCGGTAACACCGTCAAATCGGACTTCTGCAACAAAGAGGCGAAGGTTCAAAGATAAAGTGGAAATTCTGATGTGGACGCATCGAGGTCGCTTTGGAAAAATTGAGGACTATATAAAGGATGTCTATCGGAATTGTGGGAAAACTTGTCATGTAACGCCCGATAGAGGCCGCTTGAATCATTCTGATGCTGTCGTGTTTTACCCGTTTTACGCAAGTAGGTGTTAACATCTAATTGATAAAGGTTTAGCTATGTTTAGTATATTATTTTTTTTATTTTTAGAGTATTTCAACGTAACCTATCCACCGCATGCCAACCAAGACCAGTTAATGGTATTTTGGGAGCAAGAGTCGCCAATGAGATATCTGGAGAATAAAATTGAGTAAGTAAACTTTTGTTTTGTGTAATCGCTGTGAGATGCTCAAATTTCCCTAGGCAACTCTTGAACTTTTTACCGTATCCCTTAAAAATCATCTTTTTTTGCCGAAACAAGGTATGTAAAGCTTCTTCCTGACAATCAGCTCATTTTCAAAACACAAAACAATTTTTATTAGAAGCACATTTTATTAACATCAACGGAATTTTCTTTGTTATGCTACATCTTTCTGAAAAATCTGTGTTTTTTTGACGTATTTGTCATTACGTTAATTTTGCAATTATAGTCACTATATACGGCAAAGAAACTGTTGCCGAAAATGGCAAATTTCAACGTTTGTGAACAGAGAAATGTACTTTTAATCGTAAGTGTCTACCAATCACGGCCACCAGACAACACCAAAAAACGTAGGGACCATTTTCGATTTTTCAATTTTTTTTTCGAAACCGGCTCGTGACGATCAAGAAATGTTATCTTTGAATAAATTCTGAATGGAAATTCGTCATGAAATCAAAATAAAATAATAGTGCAAGCTTCATGAAATTTATCAAAAGTCCCTTTCAAGTTTGATGACGATGTTTACAACAAAAAAAATTGTATTTTAGAATCCCAGAGGACTACTTCAACACCACCGTAACCTATATGTCCACTTCCGATGTCCCAATCCCATATGGCCGCTACGTGAAGAAGCGACAAGAAGGAACAGTCAGTTTTCGTTGAAAAGTTTTATGTGTTTCCTTCAAGTCTTTATGATCCAACGTCGGACTTTTAATTTCCATACTAGAAAAGTCTAATATGACTAATCTTTTTGGGTTGGAGAATACATTGAAGGGATTATAGTAAACGTCAACTGAAAACATAAACTGTGTTTCGTACTATTATACCTAATACATAGATAGAAACATCGACAAGACGCTTATTAAAGCATAAGCCGATAAGAAGCGAAACTAGATAAGTTTTCAAAGAGTACACTTTGTTAGGATAGGTTGTAGGGGCGGAGAATAAAGTCAACAGGGGAGTGTTCAAGTGCGACGGCCAGATTTTGTACAAGCTTGGGACAAGTTTATAAATCATTGGCATATTGAACCTTTGTGCTTAGCTTTGCTAAACAGGGCAGTACTCCAAGTGTGACAGTCAGATTTTCCTTGAATTTTGTACAAACGTCCGAGATAGACTAAATCTCAATTCCTGAAAATTTTAGCCCGCGCTTTGCAGGCGCCGCCGAGATATTGAATGATCTTTGCCACCCGGAGATTACACTAAGCGCGGAGAGCGGTCAGAAAGAAAAACACCTTCTGGCCTTTCACTTCCTTTTTTCGTGCAGAAAAAATTGTTTTTTTTTGTGGAAACATCACACTTTACGGCAGAAATAGGGGTGAAACCTTTCGCGCTTAAATTCGGTAAAAATTCTCAAGTTTTCGCCGACTTTCGATCTAAAGATTTCAGTTGTTTCTGTAAAGCGCGATCTAGTATTTTTGAATATATTTGAGAAAACATTTTTCTAAATTTGTGCCATGTTTCATCAAAACCTCAGCGTTTCGCTGTGATACTATCTTTGTAAATAATTGCAAATACTTTTTCATCTTGTTTCGTAAGATGAATTCACAGCTCACACTCCTCAATTTCAGCGTGAAGAGTTTCGAACAAGCATCTTGAACCAAGTGAAAAATCAAAATAAAGGAATCTACAAAGTCTTCTCGCATTGCAAGACCTCCGCCAAACGAGAAGAGCTCATAAAGCAAATACAAAAGTAATCTATCTCATCCATGTCTTTGCCGCCATAACCTGAGCAATAAAACGTAAGAATAAACACGCTTTCAATTTCAGAGTCATGCCGGTGGATCTCTACGGAAAATGCGGAAACATGACATGCTCCAACAGCTGTTTCCAAAAAAACAAGCTACTGTATCGCTTCTACCTCGCATTCGAAAACTCAATATGCGTGGATTACATCACGGAGAAGTTTTGGCAGTTCAATACATTGGTGCCGATTGTTGTCAAGAGGAGTATGTATCCCAGGCTGCCGGAAAAGTCGTTTATCGCGCTAGATGACTTTGGGTGAGTTAAGGGAAAGATAGGGCCTCTCAAAGGTCTTCTAGGTCTTTTTTATGGGGACCTGTAGCCTTCAAATATAGCTCCATTATTGGCATACCTTCCAGTCTTTTGCCTAGACGTTTTGATGACTAAAACTGCTCCAAAAATTCACCCAATCATCCAAATTTTCAGTTCTCTCGAAGAGTTTGCTCAATATATCAACGAATTGATGAGAGATGACCAAGCTTACTCCGAATACCTCATGTGGAGATACGATTATTATCGAGATAGGATCCAGCCAACAGCTATGATGTGTTGGCTATGTGATTACGTCAGGAAGAATGAAAAATACAAATGGTACGATAAGATTGAGGGCTTTTCGGATGCTTCTCAATCCTGTGATCTCAAGGCGAATGATGGGTGGTTCAGACGGGCATAAAGCTATTTATTTTCAACCTAATTTATTTGAATAAATTTCTATTTTTTTCAATTTTTCTCCATGAAAGAAAAGAGCTTTCTGTTACGTGCTGTTTTCCACGTCAACTCTGTTGAAACTCCCGAAAAAATACCGGGATTTTCCATTGAAAAAGTCCGAGATTTTTCGAAAATTTTCAATCAAAAAATACTGGGTTTCGAGGTAAAATGGCCCTACTTCAAACGGTTGTAGAGACCTCAGTTTGCACTTTAAAATCTTGTTCTTTCATAGATAAACGTTAATCTCGCTTAAGAATACATGCTCCAAAACGGAAGCCTCTGCGCCGCCTGCGCCGAAAGCTATAGCATCCGACTTTCGCTCGCGTTTTTTGCAAGACTCTATGCAATCCCTGCACACTTATTTTCCACAATTGAAAATTGGCTGTGACCCGTTTCCTCAGAGCCTAATAAAAATTTCATTTTGTGAAATGTGTGCAAACCAGCGATTATTATGCAAATCGGATTGAACCAAAAAAGGAGCACAAGAATCCATTATCTTTGCTTGTCAAAACAGAGCGGTGATTTGTCTTTTTAAATGCCAAGATGTTGTCAATTCATCGTCTTTTCGATTCTCCTGCTCCAATTTTGTTCTGTGCATTGCCAAGTCTTTGGTGAGGACGATTGGCCTTATGACAGAATGCCAAAACGTAAGTGAAAATTCTAGTGCTAAAACAAAAGTTGCGACATATCTGCACACTGCGCTGTCGTGCATAAAATTTGGACCGCCTAGTACAGTGGGGTACCGGATCCAGTGGCGAAAAACGTAACATTTTGCATCCGGGAAGTATCAAAAATGTGGCAAAATGCTTCCCTGAGAAAACTTCCTTTTGAAGGGCGCGCCCTTTTTCCTCACAAAAAGAGCGGGCGCGCTTTTGAAATCTGAGTTTTTTTCACGTGGAGAGGGAGGTATTTAGCCACATTTTTTGATGCTTCCTTGATGCAAAATGGTACGTTTTTTGCCACTGGATCAGGTCTCCCACTATATCTCATTTCTATTTTGTTTTTTTTTTTTGCTTATTTTCTCCGTTCCAGTGGACGACCAGCCCTGTATCGACAAGAATTGCGAAGTCGCGTGTCGCTTATACGAAGGGAAATACAGTGGATTTTGCCGTGGGTTCGACCACATATGCGGTTGTGTTGGAGCTCCGCCTGGAGTCGATTGGCCATAACACTAATTACCATTGTATTAGAGTGTATTTAGCACCTATAAAAAGCGTAGATTTTAAATTATCAATAAAATTCCTATCTAAAACACCAATTTTTTAAATTTCTCATCCCAAAAGTTCCCCTAACAAGGGAAGTACCCGAAGTGCGACGCTCAGATTTTTATAAAAATTGGCATAGATGGAGATTAGAATTTTCTTATTCGATTGCGAACATCCTAGCTCGCGCTTTGCAGAATCCGCCGAGAAAGAAGGGCCGAAATATCGAAAAAAATCTTCAAATGCCAACGAATTTCCCTGCAAATTCTCTTGATCTTGGCATTCCGTTCCAGGAGAAAAATATTTTTTCTCGCAAGAAATTTTTTCTTGATAATTTTCAAGACTATTTTGTTGCTTTTATGTGGAATATGGTGTTATTTTCACTTTTTTTTACTCTGGACATGATTCTAGCGCTATTAATTGGATTGTCGCCATCCGAGGGATAAAATGTTTCGTCCTTTGACGAATTTATACAGTTTTTCCTCTGCAGATGGGCAAACCACTCTAATAGTTGCTTTAAAGCTGTTTAGGAGACATGCAAACGTTCTACGGTTGTGTATGAACATAATCTTAAAGTAAGTGTTACAAAAACTTTATTATTTTTCAGTAAGCAAATTCTGAACAACAACAAGAGCGAATGTACACCATCGGAACACTGACGGAACACCTTGGGACCTTTACTTTGTTTTCTGAAATGGCATAAACTGAAAAATAGTGAAAAAAATAAAATTTTTGTAACACTTACCTTGTGACTACATTCCTACACGACCGTAGAACGTTTGCATGTCTCCTAAACAAATTTAAAGCAACTATTAGTGGTTTGCCCATCAGCGGAGGAAAAACTGTATAAATTCGTCAAAGGACGAAACATTTTACCCCTCGGATGGCGACAATCCAATTAATAGCGCTAAAATCATGTCCAGAGTGTAAAAAAGTGAAAATAACACACAATATTCCACATAAAAGCAACAAAATAGTCTTGAAGATTATCAAGAAAAAATTTCTTGCGAGAAAAAATATTTTTCTCCTGTAACGGAATGCCAAGATCAAGAGAATTTGCAGGGAAATTCGTCGGCATTTGAAGATTTTTTTCGATAATTCGGCCCTTCTTTCTCGGCGGATTCTGCAAAGCGCGAGCTAGGATGTTCGCAATCGAATAAGAAAATTCTAATCTCCATCTATGCCAATTTTTATAAAAATCTGAGCGTCGCACTTCGGGTACTTCCCTTGTAAATTAAACTTTTCAGCTCTTTGCTGACCATAACTTACCCTTCATTACATATCTAATTCGATTACAATATATTTACAGCCCTTTTTACCAATTAAAATCAACTGACTCACAATTTATTTTGGCTTTAATTTTTTTTTCAATTCTTCCCGTATTTGAATATAATAACATTTTAAATATATATGATGAAAAAAGAGTGGAGAAACCGACGCCATTCTCGGTGTTTAGACCAAAAACAAAGGAAAGGAGAACATATTGGACAAGATACCATGTATTTGTTCGGACATGATGTACCCATTTCGCACTGTAAGAAGACGATAAATAACATGCAAGATTGGAAAAAAGGGAAATTATTCGCCTATGCACACGTATTCGAGGAGTTTTTTTCAAGAAAATCCATAAAAAATTCCGATTTTTTGGGAAATACTACCATTATGACAAAAAATTTCAAGATAACATGGTAAAAATTTGTCATGATGACGGATTTTTTAAAATTTTTGATAGTAAAAGTTCTAGGATCCAAAATAATTTCAGCGATGCTCTAATTAGCACGCTGCTTTCCCAAATCAGCTCGCAGTTTGCAAAAAGCCAGGGCGCGAGCCGCGAAACACAAACTCCTCTGAATTTGAAAAAAATCGTTAGAAAATAATCCCCACAGCTATTTCAGAGTCGCACAGACTGCAACGGTTCCCAATTCCTACGAATCCGTTCAACAAATCACTGAAAGACAACAATTTTACCATAGGTAAAATATTTACTAGGAAGACCCCGAACAAACAGTGCGCAAACTGCGGATGCGACGTGATCTCATATGTTGACGTTGCGTGATGCGGTTTTGGGTCGGAAGAACTCGTGTTGCGAGAGTTGGAACACATCGGCCCGCTCTTCTTTTCGGTATTGGAGACAGGCGCGGATAAAGTCTTGCGCGACCTGGCTGACCCGCGGATTCGATGGGAAGGAGACCTCGGAGGCGTTGAGGATTGTTTTCTCTTGGAGGATCTGCTGCTGGGTCCTTTCGTGACCAAACGGCTAAAAAATTGAGAAATTAATGTCAAGTGTAAGATAGCTTAATAAATTAATAAATAAAAAAACTTCTGATACAAGCTAAAACATTTTCTAAAACAACATCTCAATCGCAAGATATCCAAAAAACCATTTACCACAATTTGAACACCGAATTTTAAAGTAAGGTTAGGGCGCAGCTCGCCAACCCAATTAAAACCTTACGATTTATCCTTTATCCAAAAAAGTCCCAAAACCCCGGCCCACCACACTTACTCTCTTCCCATACAAGCATTGATACAAAATGACACCAACACTCCAAACGTCCACTTTCGAGTTGATCTTTGGTGTGTAACCATGGGAGTAAGATTGGAAGGTTTCTGGTGGCAAATACCTAGAAAGGATGGTGATTACTTATTTATAGATATTCACTATCAACAATTTTTGAAAAAGTAGACCTTTCCAATTTAAAATCCAAAAACTTTAAATTACACTAGGCAAAAAATTTAAAAGCTCATGAAATTTTAGCGGCGAGGGTGTTGAAGAATAAAAACTCCGTAGAACAAAATATTCTGTAATGATACAGCTCTTGGATTTATGACGAACTTTTTTCAACCGCAACTCGATTAAAAATTCATTTTTTTTCTAAAATCGTCTCCATCTGGCCTAAAATCAAAACAAAAAATTCCAAAATGACCTACCAATAAGTTCCAGCTCCTTGTGAAGTCAGCTCGATGCTGTCTCCGTCATCCGAGTTCTCCATCGTCTTTGAGAGCCCAAAGTCCGTGATTTTAATTTCCCCTCCGGCAGTTCCGGACTGCAATAAAATATTGGCCGGCTTCAGGTCATAATGTATAATCGGATGCTTCCGTTCGCCGAGATACTTCAGAGCGCTCACAATCTGCATTATGATGGATCGGGCCTCCTTTTCCGTGATCTGTTTATGTTGTTTCAGGTAGAAGTCCAAGTCGTTCCCATCACAATACTCCAGCACCGTGCAGAAGGAGTCGTTGTCGATGGTGAAGAGGTCGAACAGTTGGACGATTCGTGGATGGTGGAGGGTTTTGTGAATGTCCTTTTCTCGCATCGCGTGTTTCACATAATTCGCTTTTTTGTCTTCTTTCCATTCCTTGTTCACATGATGAATCTTGCAGGCGACGTAGCGGTTCTCATCCAGATCATAGGCCCGCCACACTTCGCTGAAAAAATTTCGACATTAACTTAAAAAAATTTCAAATTCTGCTATCTAATGGTCGTGAATACAACATAATTTCCATCATAAAAATTTGGATTTCATCTTGATTACCGTTTTACATCAAAAAAAAAATCAACATTTCCTTATTTTAGGTATTAAATTTGCCAAAAAATGTCCAAATTTTTTAAGTCAACGCCTCCTTCCCTAAAATCCAACAAAAAAATATTGAAAACACATACCTAAAGCCTCCTTTGCCCAGCAATGACATCAACAAATATCGTTCATTCAGCACAATATGATTCTTGAACCTCGACTGCTCTTCACATTGAATCCTTTTCATCTCTCTGATGTGCAGATTCCTCTCTCTTTCCAGCCGATCCTTCTCCATGAGTATGTCGGCTTCATCTCGCTTCAGGTGCTCACGTCTAAGCTTCAGAATTTCCTCCTGTTCATAGATCTCCTGCGTTGTCATTTCTTTTGGTGTTTCTGGTCGAAGGAAGGTCCCATCATCGAATGTACCACGTGGAACTTCACTGGGAGCTGCTACAGACACCGAGGGACTTGCTGGCTCCGTGATTGCTCTGAAATATGACGAGCTTAAATTTTTTCACATTTGATCTCATGGATAACATAATTTTGTGCATTTTCGAGAGGACTCCATGCTTAAATTGTTCCAAAAGGCTTTACCAAGGTCAATTCTTATTTAGAAAACAGAAACCTCTCGATTTCCTCTTATGCATTATTCAGCACTACATTAACCATGGTCAAGGTCAACCTAAACTTCGAAAAAATCACGTAGAACACTCACCTTTTTGATTCCTTTGCTCCTTTTCGCTTCCGCAGGTTACCAGACATGTTCTGGATTTCATTTTTCTCCTTGTTCAGCTTCTCCAACTTCATGTTTATCTCCTCCATGGCATACCCGTCTGTCCATTGGTCCTTGAAATGCTCTCCTATCCTAGTTGGCCGGAATTGCCCAATCCGCAGCTGATCCTCCAGATTCTTCTCTCTGGCATCTTTTCGAGCTGCCTTGGACTTCTCCACGAGCAATAATCGAATAACTTCCTTGTATTGGGTTGTTCTTCGTTTCTCAGTTTGAAGTTCGCTGGTCAATCGATGGATTTCCTCGCCAAGATGCTTGACCTGCCGCTCGTTCTGATAAGCTGTGGAGGTGGAGGAGGAGGAAGAGCAGGTGGGAAGGATGGAATTGTCGTTTCCATCGGCTTTACAATCTTTACAGTCGTTCGTTTCCAACAAGGAGTTGTGATCCTTGGAATCCTGGGAAAGCGACCGTTTTCGGAAAGGAACTCGACCATTCACCGAGGTGGGAGTTTGAGGATCCGATGGCAAACTGCCGTTGTGCTCCTTGACGTGCTTTGGAGTCTGAAATCAAAGAATTGAAGAAAAATAATATTTTAGGTAGCAGCAAAATAAATTGATCCGGAATAATATTTTTTAGTAAAACTAAATTCTAAAATTGATTTCTATTAGCTAAAAAGTCTGTAGGCTTACTAAAAATACCAAAACCGGCTGGTTTTCTTTATCTTCCAAGAAGTAAAAAATAATTTACCCACCAACACCTGGAGCATGATGAAGGTATCAGTTTTTTTGTAAAATTTGATGGGTCTGGATGCGAGAAAGAGAAGTAGGACCTAGAACCACCAGTCTGCTAGGCCTGCCACCACAGTATGGACGATATTAAACCTTACCCATCAAAAATCCAAAACCCCAAAAAAACCAAAAAAAAATTGTACCCCGAAAATTTGAATTTTTCAATTTCCCGCGAAATTTCGGAACGTCAAAGAACAGAAACAAGTTCTTTGACCCGAATGGTTAGATAAGAGTGTTCTACGGCCAGTTTCTCCCGACAAAACTAAAATTCAAAGCAAATAATCAAGAACTCACCCGATCTCCCCGTTCCTTCTTCTCACTTCTGGGCGTTTTTGCTTTCGTTTCGCCGGATGCGGCTTTCCGTTTGCGTGGTGGCTTCACACTGACCGGAGTCGAGGCTCCGGTCGCGTTACCCGTTGAATTTCCGTTCGGCTGGAGTTCGGTCGGCCGTTTCGGGGTGTTCTCCGCGTTCTCGTGGGCCGACCCGCTCGTGGAGACGGAGTTGTTGGACAACGACTCGTTGCTACCCGTTGGAGCGTTGAGACTGGGCTGGGGAATGTTTTGTGGGACAAGCTGAGGATGGGTGGGTGTGGGTGGAGTGCGATTGGGACGGTAGTCGGGCGGCCCGACACCGTAAATGTTCAGATTCTCGTTGGAGGTGGACGGGATGGCTAGCATGGGGACAAGTTGTTCCGTTGCCGGCTTCACTGGGGTTTGATGATTTCCGTTGGAGTACTGAAACGGAGATGGATTAGTAAGGATATTTGGACGGGGAAAAGTGGGTCGGAAAAGGGATTGCGCAATAAACAGAAATCGATATTATACTTGATGACTAAACCCGGAAGTCAGATGAATTTCCGACACAAATCAATGTTTAAACTTAAACTTGTGAGACTGTTGAATCCAAAGACTCTAAAGTGTCTAGAAAAGCTCAAATCACATGATCAGTTTATATTAAATCAGACATAAAAATCAAAAACAAGGCAAAGTCCCACTATCATATAAACCTATGCCCGGAAATGCGTCTCAATCCCCTCAAAATTTCTCATCGACCTGCCTCGTCAGGAATGCAACCACCAAATTGCCAAATCTCAACCATACTGCCTAACACTCGCCATCAAAGAACGAAAATCGAATAGAAAAAAGGTCACGAATTTCGGCTAAACCCCCAAAATTATAGGAAAAAGTGCGGTCAGAAAAGGGTTCGGAAAAACATGTGATATAAAACGGTCGGCGTCGGGAATAAGAAGACAAAGAGTTGTTGACTATGGTACTTGAAGGAAATTTATACTCACCAAAAAAATGGGGGGAAAAATAAATTTTCTCTTCTCGGAACAAGAAATTGATGACTATCATTGTAAACAAACAGTGTTAGAGGGTGGCTAAACGTAGAGTGGTAGAGATGGACTTTAAATTATTTCTAATGAGTAATCAGATCAAAATCTATGTCTTGGCCAACCATTCTTGACCAAATTCGGACAATTTTGACCTTATCTTACCCTCTAGACACCATGTGTGAAGATTAATATCAAAAATCTTAAATTTTCCTTTCAAAAGTTCCCAAAAATATCAGAAACACGTCTAGCAAGCCATCTTAATGTCGAAATGGTGAAAAAGAAGTCAACAAAAAGGTCAAAACATTATCTACGAAACGCTCATCACCTTCAACGCCAAGTATAATATCACCTCAATTTATGTGATTTTCCGAGCCCTTTTTGATCAGCAGACATTCTGTTGGTCCCCCCTATGACGTGATCGAGCAAAGATCAATGTCCCAACAAAAAAGGATGGCCTTGAAATTGTGGGAAATTAAAGAAAATAGATGATATTTGTATTTTGGGAGGGATTAGGCTTTGTTTTTTCGAAAATTGTAAGTTATTCCTACCGTATGGCCAATTATGGCTGTTATTTTTCGGCGCTCTAATTCACAGGGAATTGGGAATTCAAGAGGGAGGCAGAAAATGATTACGAAAGGCCGGCAAAATGGCCTAAAAATCGAAAAACGAAAAAATTTCTTGTTCGGGAAATAGTTCGAATTGCGGCGCGCAGATTTTTTTTTCAAATTTGGCGCGCTTTTTTTACTCACCCATCCTTTAGAACTCTGGCCTTTGTTTTGCAAAGCCTACCGAGATATCGAACGGTCTTTTCAGACGGACACCAAAAACTGGTGAGAATTGGCCAGATTTTAAAAATCGAAAAAAATCAAGCTTTGGGAAAAAGCATAAAAATCTCGGTAGCTGTTAGACAACTGTAGCCTCAATTTGAGCCAAATGTCATCAAAATTTTATCTTTTTTGTGGCCTTATAAAAAAACTAGCACGAAGTTTCAAAATATAAGCAATTATCGCCCCAAAAATTTTACTTTTAGGAGCAATCGACCTCAGAAAAGACTACGTCGTCTAAGACCTCCATAAAAATTGCCACAGATCCCAGAAATGCCGAGAAAAAGCCAGCAGTTTCCAGAAAACGCCAATCCTTTTTCGCGGGCTAATCTCGCTGCTCCTCACTAAATTTGAAAAACACAACCCAAAAACTGAGACCCACCTGTAAGTGCGGCTGCGCGACCGCCGTGCGGAACACACAATGCGGCGGGGTTTGGAGGAGGGGCGCCGACGAGTAGGCCAGTGTGTCCAGCGACGCGGGCAACGAGGGCTCGTCGCACTTGAAGGCGCTGGAGCCGGCGCCCGCCACGATCTGCTCACCCGATTCGGTGGTGGCCATCCGGGCCACGCTCTGCTGCTGGTCGTGTTGCTGCGGCACCGCGTTCAACAACAATGCGGAGTGACTGAAAATGGGCGAATGTAAGGTTGAAAAGTGGCCGGAAATTTTGTGAAAAGTTGGAAAATCAAAAATATTTTTTTTGGAAAATTAAAAATACATTAATTTGGATGAAACTTGGCATAAATTAAGACTAGAATTTGCTACAGCGCAGGCTAGATTTTCAGCTCGCGCGATCCAGCGGTTATCGAGATTTTTAAATCGAAAAAATCCCAAAGAATTAAAAAAATCGCCTCTAGTCTATTATAAAAAACATCGAATATCTCGGTTGAAATTACAAACCACGAACTAAAATTTTCAGGAATTGACCTTTCACCCACACAGAAAGACACTGCCAAATTTGGAAAAAATCGAATTTTCCGCCCTCGAGAAATTTGAATATAAAAAAAAATATTCGAAAAACGGTGTAAAAAACAGAATTCGCAAGTCTTATAAAAACCAAAGAAAATGGAAGAGTAGTGGGCTGCTGGAATTTGGGGGTGATCCGATTCAAGTGTCTTTTCCAAAAGAAAAATTCGAAAAAAAGTTTTTTGTTCGCGGCGAGAGAAGGAAAAGGGTGGAAAAACAATCTAACAGTGGAGAGTTTGTTTGTCTCATCACGTGTCATGCAAGCCCAATATGTCCGAGGGCCCTTTTAGTGGCTAAATTTTTCGATGACAGCGGATTTGGAAATTATTTTTGGAAAAAATAAAATGGGTGAAAATTGGAAAAAATTGTGAAAAATTGAAAATTTAATTCTCAAAAATAAAACAACCGAATTTTTTCATATTTTGCCCAAATACTGTATGCACTTATTTTATGAAGTCCTGAAAATTTTAGCAAATGCTATGCAAGTAGCACCGAGATATTCAACAATCCTTGCAGAGGATAAACCCAAAAAAATGATGAGAAATGGTCTTTTATGTCTTCAAAAATATTAATCCACTTTTTGCCAAGTTTCATCACAACATGTCGAAACAAATGTTTAGCTTAATTTCGCGTCCAACGAAGCCAAAAAATCAATATAAAACGCGAAACAAACGGCTGTATAAACAACCTAATTCCAACTAAACAAACTAACACCTTCCAAGTCTCATTAAAAAATAAAACTAAAGTAAAATCTCCCCAAAACCCTGAAAACATTCATAGTAAGAGGACGCGAAAATCGACTTCGAAAATTGAAGCAGCCGTCTCATGAAGCTGGAAAAACTCGCCCCGAAAATATTGTAAGTTAAAGAAACGAAAGGGCTTCGAAAAGCTACGTTTCACCCCGATTCCGCTCTTGGTCAGCAGCACTTTGTCCTGCACACCTTCCATCCTCTTTTTTCTTCTTCTTTCCCCCTTCTCTTTCCCCCAAGTTTTTATTTTTCCACTTTTTTCGGGGCGAAAATCATTCTCGATTGAGGGGAAAAGAAAACAACGGGTGAAAGGATGCGGAGAAAAAGGATTGTGGCCTGGGCCAGAGAAATTGAATAGCCGAGACAGAAGGTCCAGGACGTTCAGAAGACCCCGTTCCGTGTTTTTCACAGTGTTCGGAGTGAACGAATGGATGACGTTGTTTTATTTCCTACATAAAAAATTGAAGAAATCCCCTGTAAAAACATGTTTTTTCAGGTGCAGGATCTTAGAGGGGGGACATCGATTTTTTTCAAAATTTTAGTCAAAAAATCAGCAAGAGTTAGAAATCAAACTAGCCTAATATTAAGCATTGATCTAGAAAATCCATTGATTAATTCAAACCTCAAAGGCCCTCGAAAATCCCTCTCAGTTCTTTTTGTTCGACTAGTCGATTTTTACCAAAACTCTAGCAAAGAATCAGCATACACTCCTGATCAATGGCTGAAAATTTGAGCAGCTGCATGGCAAATCCAGCAAAGATATTGAACAATCTTTTCAGAGAAACCTATTTTTATAGGAGATTTTATAGCCAACATTTAACACAACGCTCCGTAGAATAAATACTTCTTGTTTCAAAAAACAAGAAAAACTTGAATTCTCGTCACCATTCGAACAATGAATTGCAGCAATTTTTGCAAATCTCATGTTAAAACCTCGGACATGTCTTTGAGAGTCCTAACCTAAATTCCCCCCAGATTTCATCAAAAATAATCAAATCCAAGCTTTTAACTTGAGCATTTTCTTACTCAACGATTGAATCTTTTATAATAAATCTCTCCGAACACCTAGAATTTTCCGCCAGAACAGTGTTGAGAGAAGCGGAGAGGGTCGATAACAAGGGCCGAAAAGGACGCCCAAGTTCCTGTAGGAGTCAATGGTCTCATGCGCTTTTGGTTTTATAGTCTAAACGGCTTGTTATTGAGATTGTTTTCTGTTGGCGTTCGAAAAAATAAATTCGGGGGGAAGCAAGTGAAGATTTAAACATCGGGTTGCTATGGAGACTTTTGCTATATTTGGTTGATAAATTAATTGAATTGGTGTTTGAATAAGCGGTTTAGAAAGATTTTAAAGGAGCAGAAAATGGCTTGGCTTACGTCTTGGCCGACTTTTTTGAATGCAAAAATAATGAAGTACGAAGGAGAAAATTGAAAAATGATGACTAAAAAATCAAAAGGTAATGCTGAGATTTTTATGGAATGCGAGAAAAATTAAAATTAAGATTTTTTATCATCCATCCGAGAATTTTGACCCCCGGTTTTCGAAAACTGCCATGATTTTTGGTCAAAATCTTTTTGATTTTACTTGCTAAAAGAAAAATAAAAAAAAAACTGCCAAAGAAAAAAATGGCTCATAATTTTTCAGAGGGAACTCCAAAGTTTCTAGCCAAACTTTCTGCTCTTTCAATCCCCTAAAATCCGAAGAAAAGCGGTAAAAAAACGTTGTGGACGCACCTTTTCTTCTTCGCTCGCCAATGGGAAACCGGAATTACAGCGGGTTGAGGAATGGTAGTAGTGGCCGAGTGAAGAATCTTTTAAGAGGACGAAGCCTTTCGAAGGCCGGTTTCGGAGCCCACAAAAACACTGTGTCGCTTTTCCCGGGCCTAGGTTTGTGTGTGTGTGTGTGAGCCGGGGGGAAAGGGGGCAGCAGGAAGAGTTCTTGTTTCACCCTCGGCTTTCTTGTTGTGGTCGTCGGTTAAAGCCAAGAAGGATGCCGTACTTGTCCTGGCATTCACCCGTTTGGTGTGTGAGGTGTGTGACGTGTTCCGGGGCGATCTTGGATGTGCGGCGAGATGGGGAGAGAGAGGAAGTGGAGGGCCGCTAGAGATTTGTGTGTGTGTTTTTTTTTGAGAGAGGTCGAAACTGAGCGTCGACAAAATGGAATGGATTCTTTAGGAGACTCCGTAAATACCTGCAAAAACCGAGGGGGTTGGGGTGTCGTCGGAAGGGACGATTAATGAGTCGCGAGGTGAGTGACGATAATATCAGTAGCGGACTGAAAAATTATACGGAATATGGGAGCTCGAACTCTATGATCCTAATGGAAATTATTTGAAATTACAGGAAAAAGGGCTGTTTTTGATTTGCAACACCGGGGTTTGCAATGCTTAGGCAAAACATGGCAGAAACTGGAGAAACCCTTCAAAACAGCTGTTTAAAACGGTTGATGCTAACAGAAGAGAAGACTATTTTTTAACAGTGGCTTTGTTTACCTAGTTTTTAGGCCCAAACTCACAGAAGATACCATCCAAAAATCATCAAAAATGACTTCCAAGTAAAAGCCTCTTCAGCCCTTCATGACCGAATCTCTCTCTCTCAAAGCATAGGCCTTATGACCATGCTCCGAACTCCAAAAACCCCCCGTTTGCACCCCCAAAGCAGTCCCATCGTTTTGGTGGCGACGGAAATCTTTTAGACGGATGTTTAAAAGGGTCAAAACTATGTTTGGGGGACGAGAAGAGGAAAGAGAGAATTTCGAAGAGGCAACGGCTTTTTTCTTCTCCGCTCTTCCCCACACCGCTTTTTTGACAACTTGAGTTGGGGTCGACGAGCCTAGTTGTAGTAAGTGAGCGGAGAACTCCGGCGGAAAAGCGTCTTTAAAGGGCTGGGGCGAAGAAAAATGGGGAAAAAAGAGGCACCCAAATGAAGAGGGAGCCGCATTCTCGTTGAGGATTGTCGCAATCGGCGGAGACGACGGCGAGAAAGCACCAGTGGGCCATAGAACGCATAGTGATGGGAAAAGAAACGGCTGATGGCCGCTTTTTCGCCGCGAAAAAAAGAGTGGACTCCCGATTGAGGAGGAAGTGTCGATTGGAAGTTGGGCTACATCTTGCAACATAGAGAGAGAGTGGAGGTCCGCTGGAGACGGGCGTGAGGGAAACGGATCAGCTAGCGGTTTATGAGTGCGAAAGAAACGGATATGTTGACGGGAAGGGAGGAGGTGAGGGGCGATGTTTGATAGGTCTTTATATGGCGGTTTAACGGGGCAGGGGGGGCTTAATGAGCGGGATGAATGGGTTGGAGGAAGGGTAGGTTAAGAGGAAACATACATGGATTTTGGGAGTAGTCAGATCAACGGCTAGAGTCATCATTCGATTGGAAAAGGAGTGTGAATTGGTGTATAATAAAAATTTTGGGACTAGGCTCGGTTTCTTGTTCTAGAAACCGTCTAACTCTAATATCGGTCAAATTCAGACCCTTATATAGTAAAAGCGCCCTACAACAAACAATTTCAAGTATGTCCCAATCAGCTTCAAAGTCTATGGACAACATTAACAATCGTCATTCTTCCCTTTTGGACTGGCAAACAGGCCGAATTTCAAATTTATCCCCGGAAATCCAACCTAATCCAGGCCCTACTTCTGACTTCTTTGAAACACTCTCAAACCTTCCAATTCTTTTCCCGCAAGACAGCCAGCATTCTATGATTTCGTAAAATCCCTCACAATACCAATAAACAGACGGGGGATCGAGGGCGTACGCCTCAGAATCAACCCTTTTTGCTAAAACCGGCACACAAAGAATCAAACGAGGGAGGAAGAGAGGTGAAAGGGTGCAGAAATGAGCTCGGACTTGTCTTATTTATGTTCAGAAGGGACATTAAATGGCAGCTTGGACTTGCGTATGAAGGGAGACAAAGAAGCGAGGAAGAAATCTACAGGAAAGCGAGGGCTGGCGTAACAAATTTACAGCCGCTGTAAATAAGGATTAGATATTTAGAGGCGGACAAGAAGATTTTACCAAGCTTGGATGACAAACTGTTAAGCCAAGAAACGGAGAAAACGGATGCTTCAGTTTCTGTCATCAAAAATTGCGGACGGAAAAGCCTTTGTTTTTTGGCAACAGCAGTGTGTAATTGGGCGAGTTCTTGGTGTAAAACTCTCCGCGAGAAGTTGAAAATCCAAGCAATTAGTTCTAATGGATTGGGGGTCGAAATGGAAAAAAACGGATGAAATTAAGGGATCTTGCGCGGATTAGGTCGCTAAACAACGTGGAACGAAAGCTGCGACGTCTAACCGATTTATTGTCGATCGCTGAGGTTTCATGTCGGATTTTATTCGGAATGACACATTAAAGCGTTGTAAAATCTTTTGGCGATTTTGGAATGGGATGGGGATTTGAAACGGCAATTCCGGGACCATTAGTCGCAGCATTGGGAATCAATTTTGGCAAGGTTTTATATGACAGAAAAAAATCATTTTTCAAAGACATGTAGGTCCAAAATTCTCAGGTAAATTTTTGTAAAGATTATCGAAAATTTTGAGGCGGAAGTTTCCCTAATCTTTTTGATTTTTGCGTTCCTACAGATAAAAATTGAAGTCGTTCTTGCAACGTGCAATAAAATCTTTCAAAATAAAATTATAGTTCTCGAAGGTTCAAAGATTTTTTCTTTGACCGTCTCTCCCACTATTTTCTAAGGTTTTCATCTGCAAAGATCGTTGAATACACCGACGGTGTCTGCAAAGCCTGATCTAAGATTTTCAGAAATTATTTTTGGGACCCGTAGGTTTTTGGGATAAAAACGGAGGAAAATTTCAGGTTCGCTAAACTTTGAGTTCTTTAAACTTGGGCGAAGTTACCTACTAGCCCTTGCAAAACTTTCATAAGGCTCCAGTTTTGCTATGTAAAGACTTGCTGCACTGGAAAAGTCATATTGAAAAATCAAGACCCCCAAAAAAGAGATAAAATTCCATCTCGCCCCAAAGACAAGACGCCGATTGTGACGAACGTTGTTGGAGAAGATATATAACCGAAGAAAAGGCGAAATTCCCATTTTTTCGATTTTGGGTACAAACCCAAAGCGCTTAAACCCCCCATCCGAAGAGCAGGGGCAAGAGGAGGAGGGGTGGGGGCAGAGCGGAAAGGACGGACCTTGCTGGTACGTCTCCGAAATTCTGCAGCAGTGGCATGGCGGGGCTTGTGTATAAGTTCTTGTGGGGGGTGCTTTTCTCCATTTTCCTATACTTTATTCACCCCCAATCCGTTCGCCATCTTCTCGCCCCTCCAACACAAAAAAATAATAGTTTTTGGTCCGGCTGTTTCCACTCGCACTTGCTCTTTACTCCGGTGTCCGAAATCGCCGCGGTTCTTCCGCGGCTTGGTGTGTATATTACGGCTAGTTCGAGGAGGAGCGGAGAGGGTTTTGGCTGAGAAAATTTGGAAAATGGAAACAACACGTCAACTAGGAGTGAAAGGAATCGAAACATTTCGAAATTCGAATTTTGATGACAAATGCTCAAAAAAAAAATGTCACGATAATCATAATGTAGCTGAAACAATGAGAATTGAAATTTTAAGGTTCGTATTTGGAAAGCACTCGGAACGAATTGAAATTAAGATCGGCTATGAAACCCGGCAGATTTTTGAATCGCGTTTTGCAGAGACTTCCGAGAGTTTTAGGTGAAAAAGTGCCCCAGACTGCAGCTTTTTTGCCATTTTCGGAATAAAAAAATCGGTCTCTTACTATAGGTATCAACACAAAAGCCCAAGCCATGATAATGATAGATTTTCTAGGTTTTTATAAAACAGTAAAAATTTATAATCAAAAAAATCCCATTTTTTCTTAAAAAATTCAGTGTTAAAAAGTTTTCTCAGGCGTGTAAAACCTATAACTGCCATGACACCTCCCTATTCCCCACAAACAGCTCCAAAAATAAAAATTTCCATCGTAAACACACGCAAAATGCCAGATAGGCCTCGAAATTTCCACTCAAAGATTATGACGTCATGCTTTGTTGAGCCCTCCCCCTTCGAAAAAACAAACAAGAAATAAATAGTCCACTGTTCAAGGGATCCATTAACGATAAGACCGGACTGGGAGAGGGCTGTGGAGAGAGCAGAGAAACGAGAGAAAGCAACAGGAAGATGTTCCGATGACTGTTTTGCATGAGAATGTTCTGTTTCGTGGATAAATTATTTCTTGTGGGACCGGAGGGCGAGTGAGTGTGAGAAAGGCAGAGAGTGGGAGTTGGAGAACAGATGGAATCATAGCTTGCGTAGAAATGATTGCGGAGAACTTTGAAAAAAGAACGTGTTCCGACGGCCCACCTTGGCCTACAAAATTAAAGCTTCAAAAAAAAAACAATGAGAGTCATCCGCCTCTTACTCTACCAAACGATATTTTTAGGCCTAAGCCGACCATGGCGTATATCAAACAATATTGGAAACATGGGCAAAGTATAAACGTCTTTATTTCAACAAAGTAGCGGCATATTCCTAAAGCAAAGTGTATAATTATTTCGCCAATTTCCCATTTGAGATTCTGAACTAGTTCAAGACTTGAGACGATCAATTTTTTCCATTTTTTCCGCGTAAACAAAATTTGCGTCGTGAGCTCTATGCCTTATAGTAAGACACATTAATAAACTGCAAAATTCGTAATGAGAACGACGGTATGCGAAAAGCCCTTTGTTGACAAATAGGTAAAAAAACGTGGTCTAAAATCAGTCAAAAAATCAATTCTTGATAAAATTTTAGCTCTGCCAGCTTTACAAGGAAGAAATTAACTTCTTGCGGAAAAATAGCCTTTCACGTTAGTTCATGCCAAAATTTACAAAAAAATTCCGCATTTTTGCCAACCTTTTACCCAAAAATTTCGGTTGTTTTGGCAAAGAGAGAGCAAGAAATCTCGTGACGTTGCAAACTTTTACTTTGTCAGCTTTCCCCCCACCTTTTGGTCGTTTCAAGTCTAGTAATGCGATCAGTCAGAAAATGAATTCGACAGAACATCTATATATCTCCCTCTCGTCGTCTGGTTCTCTCCGTTCTCAGGTCATCGCGATGGAAGTTTATGAAAAATTTAAACGGACACTGGTTGAGGCGAGGAGCGAAGAAAGTTAGTTCTTGTTTGTCATGAAGAAGAAGATTGTTCGAATAAATAAAAAATGCGGCTGAGGAAAACTGACTGCAGAGCCAGTAATGCTCCAATCTATATGTAATGTTTACGAACAAACGAGTTGTTTTGAGGCCTGGTAAAATGCATCGAATGTTGAATTATAACAAGGGAAGGGTGGAGCTCAGATTTTCTTTAAATTTTTTGGCATTTGTGCCAACTTTCATCAAAATTTAAGCCGCACTTGCAGAATTTCACATGTAAATTCAATTCGATCTCTAAATTTGGCCAGAAATCGAATTATCACAATTAAAATAACCGATGTCGTCGAAATATGGACAATTTTGCAAAACGTGATGATTAATGATACTGGAATCGTGGCTTGAAAGCTGTAACAGAAACGCAAGAGCAAAACGAATTGATTATTTTTTCCAGTGTACCAGAAGGGTCAAATTGCTTTTACGACTTCATTTTTGCCACGGTTTTCTCTGCAATAACTTCTGAAAAATCCTACATCTCCAGCCTACATTCGGCAGCATACGTGTCGAACAGATCTGCATTTCAAAATGCTCACGCTGGAATTCACAAACAACATTTTCCCGCAACTAGTAGGATTAGTGGGATCTAAAAATATTTTCTCAACATTTTCGAACTTTAGCCTTAGCCCTTAACAATGTGAATTTGATGTTCCCAACTCAACGTGCCGGGCAAAAATGAAGCGTTCAGCAAATTTATGCTAATCTCTCAGAGCCATAAATACGTCGAGAACCGCGGCGATTGGGAAATTCAAATCGTTTCGAGAGAAAGCTAAAAGCTTGTCGACTGTTTTCAGGTGTCCTATTGCTGGCATTTTCTGGAATTTACTTCGGATATTGTACTTTTGTTTAGTTGTTATTGCACAGTTTTTTACGGAATACGAAGGTACGTTCTGGGGCAAGCCGTTTATTATGGGTTCAGCGATCAAACAAGTGTAAAGGTTCAAGTATAGTAACAACCAGAGATTACCCCGCTCCGGAGCCGGCTCTCGACTCCGGCTCTGAGCGGCTCTAGCTCCAAGCCGGCAGCCTGAGCCGGAGCCGGAGACCTTTTTAAATTTTGCCGCAAATTTTGGCCGTGGCAATCTCTGGGAACAATAATCCACATATCATTTCCAAAAAAATCAGTTTGTGTTTTGCAAGGAACATAAAAGAGATTTAACTGCCCTTGTAGAAATCAGAACATGCAAAATGTGGGGAAGCTTTGGTTCTTAAATCTTTGTTTCTGCAAAGCGCAGGCCAAAACACTGAATTTTGTAATGGAAAGATATATTCTCAATTTGCGGCAAAATGTTGGCCACAAATACCGCTGTTTGTACCGCAGTTTGAGCACTTCCATCTGTTTTTGAACCTTTTTCGGATGTCCAAAACTGATCCATAGGGTCAGTTTTGGACAAATTTTCGAGCCTTGACTAGGGCCTTGTCTAGTAATGGTTGGATGGTCCTTTCAGCCACCAAACAATTCATCATCAATATTTTCCTTTGACCATGCAACAAACCCGCCAGCTTCTGATCTGTTTGCTAATGATCTGCAGTAAGTATCCAACTGTTTACCGAAAACATTAATTCAGACATAATGATCATTGTGGCCCGACCTACCTTAAGACCCAACCCGACCAGTCATGAAGGCTCGTGGGAGGGAGATGACGACCCGGAGGCGGTTGGAGACTACTTGCCCGAGAGCACCTTTACCAAAAAGTTTTTGGAGGACATTGAGCGCTTCATTGCGTCCATTTTCGGGTTCAATTTGGACAAGTAGACCACTCGTCTTGTCTTACTGTATATATGGTCCCATAAACCGGTTTAATATTATTTATACTTGTATGTTTTGAAGACGCCAATCTTCTATGTGATCACGTTGAGACGTTGATGAAGATGCCCACTTTATGCTTTTTCTTTCTAGCCTTTTTGTTAGGGAAATTGTACATATAAATAAACTATAAAACGATCACCTCTTAATAACGTTGGGATCTTATTAATGATTCCTTTATTGGGCATGCTTATTGATGAGTTAGGAACTGATGATGTAGAAAGCAATTTGTCTGGATCATTAATTACTAACTGTAGGAAATTTTCCTTGAAGCCAAGATATCCAACGGTCTTTGCCGACGAGAAAGTAATGCAGAGAGTGATAACTCGCCTAAGCCCAGAGGTATGAAGAGGTTTTTACAGAGTCTGCTTGTCATGACTAGTATATACGCGATGTTTCAAGGTAATTTAGTTATGCTCGCTTTGGATATGGTTGGTGAAAAAATATGTCCGAGAGGCAACCTCTAGCCGAATGTGTCCAAGTTTCTATTAATAAATATATGAAGCCCTAGGTGTTTCTTGACTGCAATAAAAACCAATTTGGACATGGAAATCCTTTTTTTAGGCATCACATTTTGCCCAAAACCATAGGTGATATTTGTAACTGATACAATTACAAACGATATTTCATAATCGCAAATTTCACGTTTGTTTGAAATGTTCAGTTCCTGAACTCTTCTAAATTTATTCAAATCCCAGGTTCGCCGAATTCCTTCCAGGTCCCATGTAGTGATCACCAATCCTCCGTTTCCCGAAAAAACATCCACTCGCTATGAACAGTCTTCAACTGTGGTTTGTTCTACTGATCATTTCGTTGCTGGTCAAACGTAGGTGTAGCTCGGACATCACTGAAAAAATTTTAGGCTGTAAAACCTATCCTTTGCCGGTATATTGGGAGGAATGGTCGTCCGAGGAGTTTGATGTAGTTGAGCCAGTTCCGGTTTACGCGCCGGCGAATGCGGGCTATCCATACTACGTTCCGGTCGTTGTGGATCCGTTGACCGGCTTGCTGAATACGATTTTATATGCCGTTGGTTTTTACTAATGACGCAACGTATAACTTTGTAAATACTCCTTCTATTTTTATTATTCATGTTTGAAACTGCTCAATAAATACGATTTTCTTTGTCAGCGTCAATCAGAAGATCTACTTGACCATCCTGAAACTGTCAGAAGATAGCGAAACACGTCTTATGCTGTAGTAAAGTTCTTGTAAAGCTTTCATCAATATGTAATGTCTGCGTCAAAATTTCATTTTACTACTTTGCTCTATGTTCAATCAAATAACCTATAATACATAATATGTTGCGCCTTCCTCGCGCTGCTTTGTTTATTAAACTTGAACTTGTGTGGTCTGTCGCTAAATCGGTCAAACTGAACTTGAAACGTCTGCGGTATCCACGACAGTCGTTAAGGTTGATTAATGGGTCAAATTGCCAATAAATCGTTTCAGGTTTGGCATTGTGACAGCAAATGAGATTCAGAAACAAAAATTTAGCTAGTTTTTTCGCTGTTCTGTCGGCTGTTATATTAATCTATAGCATCAAAGATGCTATGCAAAGATGAAAAGTTTATATGACTTAACACTGAAAAAGGCTAATTTCTTGGAACCTTTCCGAGTTCAGCCCCCCAGGAAAGCAGTTCAAACCCCCACTGTTTTGCCCTTCCGCGGCTTGGTGTGTATATTACGGCTAGTTCGAGGAGGAGCGGAGAGGGTTTTGGCTGAGAAAATTTGGAAAATGGAAACAATACGTCAACTAGGAGTGAAAGGAATCGAAACATTTCGAAATTCGAATTTTGATGACAGATGCTCGAAAAAATGTCACGATAATCATAATGTAGCTGATACAATGAGAATTGAAATTTTGAGGTTCATATTTGGACAGCACTCGGAACAAATTAAGATTAAGATCGGCTATGATATCCGGCAGATTTTTGGATCGCGCTTTGCAGAGACTTCCGAGATTTTTTGGTAAAAAATTGCCACAAAGTGCAGCTGTTTTGCTTCTTTTTGGGGTTCAAACCCACAATAATGAAGAAATTCGAATAATACAAAAAAATGTAAATTAGAGCTCTAGTATCCCTACATGGCGTTGCACGGCAACCCAAAATAGAACAAAAATGTCTCCCGCCCACTTTTGAATTTCGTCCAAACGAAGTGTCAAAATTCACAAAAGAAATAAAATAATTCCGAGAAAAATATTTTTCGGTCGGAAAACCACACGAAAATTCATTTTTGACATTTCGTTTGAATTCAACCGATACTAGGTGGGCGAAGCGCCGAAACGAGGCGGGAGACTCCCTGGGTTGCCGTGCGTTGGTGTTCACATTCAGGGCATTGTCGTATATCATTCCCAAACGTTGTTCATCGAACCCCCTACTTTTTAGATCAAACCCCCTACGTTTTAGAGCAACGACGATCGGTTGTCTGGAGCTCCGACAGCATTCAGTAAAAAAAACTTACTGGCGACACCCTTTTTCAGATTGGATGAAGGGGTTGGTACTGGGTTATGGGGGTCTGAACTGGACTGCGCGTTTGTACTACATTAGCCCGAATTTTTGAGACTAATTTCTTTGCAAGGTACGTCCTAGACAATGTATTTGGTAAGATCTATGAACATATCGGCTCTTAGGCAGAAAACGAGATAAGGTTTAAAGTGCGCGCATACATATCTGCGGCTTAATGAGCTTTAGTACTCAAAAGCCCAAAAAATTCAGAAGCTTTTTTCTTTTGGGCCAATATCTTTTCCCAACTGCTTCTTGCAACATCATTCTATCCGTTTGATCTTATTGCAACCTTGTCACATGCCGTCATTCTCTTTATTTCCAACAACAACCCTCACGTGAGGTGTTGAATCGATCTCATTGTGCTTTTCATCAGACTGGAAACTCTGATTGACCCACAGGGTCAACCAATTTGGAATGCACATACTAATGTGGGAAGGAAGTTGGCTTCGCAATATTTCGCATCGCTTTTGCAAGCAGCTGGTGCACATAATTTTGCCAAGAGAAATTTGAAGGGGTCATTAAAATTTTGACTTACTTAGTCCGGTATATCATTTTATTGTTATATTTACAAGAGACCAATTGCTCAGGAAATAACAAAAGAAGGTCTTGGGACAATAAAAATACAGGTGTGAATTGTGATGCTACAAGAGACTATTGAGTGGTGCCGACTGAAGGCGGAAGAGGTTTGCGTTGTGCGGCCTTTTGCTGCGCGGCTTGGCCAATCTCGTTGATGAAACGATTCTCTTTGCCGAGACCTCCCTGAAAATGAATAGTCATGAGAGAAATTTTTCATATTTATATATGTATTTATATATGTGGATTTGAGCAATTTTTGGAGTGAGAAATCAATTGAACTATCTCGATTTTGCCTACAATTTTTTGGCAAAATTCTGGGGATTCCATGTTTGGCATAGGCCAATGATGTGGGCTAAATTCATCACCTTTCATTACAAACCGACCATAAATTTTTAAAGAGTGTAAAAATAGTTTCTGTTTTTTCCAAAAAATGTTCGCTATCCCCGGTACTTCCTTTCACCACCACTAACATTTCCACATTTGCATCCCTGTTCCCTTCTGCTTTAATATTCAACTATGTGGGTGATACTATACTGCTTTATCCGACCTTGCGTCCAATCTGCCCAATTGATTTCGCCACTCATGCATTGGAAATCGTAAACAGGTGTCTGTCGATGAGTGACGCTTCTTTTTTTTGAGTGTAAAAAGTATTTGTTTTTCCGATAAATTTTTTTCGAGTGTAAAGCTCTGAATTGTTGATGGTGATGGTAACTATAAACGGAAATTTTGTGTTTAGGAAATAGAATCGACCTTTTGTTTGGGAATCAATTATTTAAAATAGACGATGACTCCACCGATTTTACTGTAGCTTGCAAATGTGTCGGAAATTTTAATAATGAAAGGCTCGAAACAAATGCAGAGATCAATTCTAACTGTTAGGACGAATGTACTTGCTAATTAAAAGGTCTTGATAGCTCGCAAATGTCAACAAAATATAAAAAGAACAAAAATATCGGTCAAAGTGTTTTTGACGCCTAGACAGAGTAGAGCCCAAATTTTGAAACAATTTCTCATCAATCAGACGCTTGGTAGTTCGAATTAAGTTTATATTTTAAGGCTTTGTGTTTTATGATCAAAATATATATAATCGTTTTCGGAGATGTTGTACCCCTCACTAATCATTCAGCTTTAAATTTATACCCCTTAAAGCTTCAGAAAGAGCTCAAGCTGTATAATTTTTAATAAAAAATCTCGACGTGTTCTAAAGAGTGGGAGCTATAAATTTGGTATATTTTGGCAAATGGCACTTGTGGTCATAAAATGCAAAGACTGCCACACGTAAAAATGAGGAGTTCGATGACCGGAATAGTCCCCTCGATATCGGTTTTGTACACTCCGCCTTGATTTCACTGAGAAGTCAGAGAAAAGAGGTGCAAAACGTACTCTTTCGCCCCGAAAATTCCCCATTCCTTCTCTGACAAAAAGTTTTTTGCAAGTCTTTTTTTTTTGGCGAATTGCCAATACATTTACCGGATCATACTAAAATGGCTTATCGCAGTTTGACAACCGCCTTTTGCCCCACAACTTACATGGAAGGTATTGTCTCCGGCGCTGACGTCACTGTCGATGGCAATTCCCTTTTGCTTTTCGAATCCGAAGGTCGAGTTGACTCCATAGTTTTTGTTTTTCACCAAGATTTCATTTCTGGCTGAAAAATTTATATTACTGTTTTAAATGAATTTTCAAGCGTTTTTCTACCGTAATCCGGAAATTTTTTGGTGTTAAAAATTGATTTGGAGATCCTAGTCAATATTACTCAGCATTTCCCTTGTTTTGTCACCTTATCAATCCGCAAAAACTTATGATTTTTACTCACGTTCCAACGTCAATCCTCCATTTCCGCCCTTGACCTTGAGGCCGGTGTTGGCACCGTAGCCAAAGAAATTGAGGTTGCTAAAAGTGTCAACGGAAGTCTCTCCTCGCTCGTTCTTATCAATATTGATACCGCCAAAGGGAAGGGGAATTGTGAAAGCGTCTGAAATTATAAAAGAATTTAGGAATAGAGGTCAGTTTTGACATTTTTACAGGCCGATAAGAAAATGGCTTAAGAGTCGTATCAGTCTAAGTACGATGACTTACAATATTGAGCAATAAAGAGGGCAGCAATTATCAAGATCGACTTCATTTTTGATGACTTTAGAGGTAAAATGCGGAAACAATCGTTGATTCAAGTTTAAAGCTCACAGAAGAAATCGAAAATAATATAAACGAGCAGAAAGTGAGATCCTTTTATATCCAAGGTCGGTATGCAAGGACTCTGAGCGCTGAATATTATCGCTTTTCATGACAGATAAATCTCTTCTGTTGATCTGCACATAATACAAAGGGACTTGTGTTTGTACGCAGAAAATGTTTATGGTTCATGACTTCGAGGGAATGTTTCAAAGTTAGTGATGTATTTGCATAACGTTGTCAGACAATATGTCGTAAAAATGGGGTTAAATAGGCGGTTCCTTTGTCTCCCGATGTTGCTAAAATTTTCTGGAAAGGCAGTTGACATTTAAGGAGGCTATTGAAGTTGAATTTGTAGGCAAAGTCAGAGATCAGAAACTTCGAAGAACTTTTAAAAAGGATGCTTGTTGGAGATGCACGTTATAAGAATGTCCAAAGGAATGGCATCAACTTTGTACAGTGGGGGACTCGATCCAGTGGCAAAAAACGTACCATTTTGTATGCGGGAAGCATCAAAAATGTGACAAAATGCTTCCCTCTTCAAGTGAAAAAGCTTCGTTTTGAAGGGCGCGCCCTCTCCCTTACAAAAAGAGCGGGCGCGCTTCTGAAATCAGAGTTCTTTTCACTTGGAGGGGGAAGCATTTTGCCACATTTTTGATACTTCCCGGATGCAAAATGCCACGTTTTTGGCACTGGCTCAGGTCCCCCCACTGTAGCTGGTAATCATACGTTACATATCAATAAATAAATATTATAATCAAGCTTCCCTATTTCTATATGTATCTCAGAGTAATAATAGGACAACCTTACACTGACATTGAAAACCCGGGATTGAACCACAAACTCATCTTCCTCTTTCCTGCAACATTTTTGCAAAATTTGCTCCAAGCACCAGGGTATGAACATGTAGCCACTCCAGGCCGCAAAACTTGGCAATGTCTAATTTAGGCTTAAAGTATTTTGATCTCTTCTGAGCATTTCCCCGGCAAGCTCTTTTCCTCGACGTGTTTCATCCACTTCCTGCGTTTCTTTCTCAACTAAAAAAACCATGATTTCATCAAGAAATTATGGTTTTTGCATCGTTCCAGACCTCCCATTATAGTTTTTCACCCCGCAAATATGCATTCCGAATCGACGTAGTCATATACGTGCCTTTCTTTGTCTAAAAAAATGTTTCAAAATTTATTGCATACGTCAGGTTTTATTACCCTTAACCGAACCAATTCCGCATACCGTCTATATTTGTATTTCAATTAATTTTTTTTGCCAAAGTAAAAAACCCATCTAAAAAATTGTTTTCTTTTGAAAGGGGTTGGGGTCAGGAGGAGGCGTTCTGGAATTTCAAAAAGGTCGTAAAGATGAGGAAATGGGGTCAGGTCAGGGTTCAAGCCATTAAAAATTATACTGTAACACTTCTTGATGATGCGTCACAGATGGTTTTTACTTCTGCGAATTTGTGATTTGGTTGGAATTGGGACTTGTGACTTTTTAGTCATGAAATTTGAAAAAAAAAACAGAATTGAAAATAATGTCAAGTTTCGGGGTTTACCTGGCCTATGGAAATAAATAGCAGACGGCCAGAAATCACCTGGTTCAAAAAAAAAACTTTACAGTCTGAGTTTTTTCATTCTGTATTATACCCAAATAAGGATTGTTAGGATTGTTTCTGCTTCAAAACAATCAAGAAAAATCCGAATTTACGTGCTAAAAAACATCTTTTTAATCTTGAAATTCCGACAAAAAACCCCAATTTGAAAGTGGAGAAATGCCGTTGCACGAAACGATTGGGATATTCTGCTATGTACGTAGCCCAGAAAGATGATTAAAAAGGTTGGCAAAGAGATCAGAAGTGGCGCAAATTTGATAAAAAAATGTGTCACAGAGACACAAAAATATGGCCGGTTTTTGTGAAAGCGTAGATTTGCTCAATCTTCCCATAGCCGCTTCGGAGATTTGGAATCACAAGTTTGATCCCAGCAAATCTCGTTTACAGCCCCTTCAATAATTGTCGTGGCCTCATGTTAGAGATCACCTTGACTGCAATTTTTTAATTTTCACACGATGCAATAGGCTTTTTTCGGCTGTCGCTCGCACCCTGACTTTTTTCGCACGGTGCAAACGCCAAAAATCGGTCTAGTATCGAAAATAAAAATTACGGTTCAATTGAGACCAAAAATTTTATTTTTCCGGGATTCTTTTCACAAGGCGGCATAAATTTCGCTTCCTTGATGACATAAACAAGTTGTTCAGCACATTACCTGGCCATTGTTTTAAGAATTAGAAGCGCGCTTTAACATAGCATGCGGCTCCACCAGTTTCTTCCCAAACAAAAAGAAAAAAATATCATGCCTTTGTGATCCCACAGTACCAAAACTTTATTTTTACAGCCAATCTGAGAATTATGTTTTTACATCTCACGTATCCTTCCCAAAATTGCCAATTTTCCATCTGCCTTCAATTCCTCAATCTCTATTTTTGACAGGTCGTAAATCAATTTTGGCCTTTTCTCTCCTCATCCGTCCAGATTGGTCGTAAGATGACGTTCCGAGAGAACCGCGGCTTCGTAAAGCGTTTAATTTGGGCGGGCGAGAGTGTCATTAAAATTCTTTTTTGGCACATTCAATGATTCAGACCCGCATTTTTAATGCGTTTCCTTTGTGTGGGTGGTGTTCCGCGGGTGATTCGCAAGTAATGCCGGCTCCGCCCATCGCTTTTTTGATTATGCTTCAATGTTTCTTTATATAAGGGAAAGCACAAGTGAAGCGCTTTTCCAACCCTTTTTCGAGCCCTCCCATTTCGCCGGCAACACCAATTTTTTCGGTGGGAAATATAAAACGTCTGTGAATAGGGACTATATTTGAGATTTGGCTATCAATTGATCGCTACAGGAACTACTGTTCAATTAAGAAGTTTATTCTGAAACTCAAAGCAAATCGTCGTTACCTAACGCTTTTTGGAGCTGAGAGTTTCTTCTTTTACCGCGTTATTTTAAGTCTAATTTATTCAAAATGACTATGCGGATATTACTATGGAGGTTATTGCTAATAACACTACTAGGTAAGAATTTTTTTATTTTTTATTTTTTTTTTGGGTTGACGTTTATTTGCCAAGATTTCCGAGCGTATTTTGCGAATTTCGTGTTACTAGGCTCTGTAGATGCGATCTGTATACTTTAGCTTCTCATGCGGAGAATTTTTACAAGGCTAGGCTCAAATTTTCGGTAAATTTTGAACACACGTCAGGCATCTTTCACGTATAAATGCTTGAACATGTTAGCTGTTTTATCAAGATCATTTTACTTGCTGCAATTCCTCTTTAAATCGACTTTTCGCCTTCCTTAATTAATCTTTTCAAATCTTCTTGCATAAGTTCTATTCTCTCGAGCCCTTTATTATGATATAATTGACGCCAAATGTCCTCTGAATCTCCGTCTTGCTTCTCGTTCATTGAATTGATCGTATTTTGCATTTCCAATTCATTAATTCATTGTCTCCGGGCGTCAGGGTCAAGCTTGAAATCGAGCCTGGGAAAAGCGTCATCTTGTATTGTAATGAGGAATAGAGTTGCGTAATTACCGTATGTGTGATGTTGGCGGATGATTAGTAGGCATATTATGAGTCTGTTTTTTATTATGCATAGATGAGCTGATTCTATTTTGGCGTGGGAATCATTTTGAGGCAGTTTTCTAAAGCATTGTATGCAATATAATAGTTGCAGCAGAAAAAATGTATTACAAAATTTATACGCCAAACATGATTGGAGGTGCGACAAAAAACCCGGGTAAAGATTGGAATAGATCAAGGTTTGGATTGGGTGAAATGTATAAGTGATTTTTGGTGTGCGCTTTGCAGAAATCGTCTAAAAATTTCTATCAAAGGGCGAAAAAGATCATCCAACTTTTTGGCGTGCAATAATAATATTACATATAATATTTATGAAGGGCGACGTATAATATTCCTGAAAAAATCAGTCCTTGCTGCGCCAAATTCAAAAAATGCGGAAAAAAAGGATAAGTTTTCGACAGTCTCTCTTCATTACCCATGGTCTGTCGTACACAAAGATTGCTGCATATCTCGGCAATGCTTGCAACGCGCGGGGTAAAATTTTCAGCATTAAAAAAGCGATTCATACGAAAGATTCTCGCAAAGTTTAAAATTTTCTGTTGCACTGTTTCACATATGGTTTGCTAACTTTCTGCTTTTAGCCTTAATCCTTGTAACGACATGTGACGCCCGAATAATCAACATCCGGCCACTGAGGATACGAAGAAGTGACAAGGAGAAAACGGACGATGACTATGATTCAGATGTGAGTTTCACTTTTTCACACATCTAAGTTGGCATTTGGAGATTAGAAAGGCATATCCTACTCATAATTCCAGGGCTTGTTTTTTCGCTGAAAAACTTCAAAATTTCCCTTGATTTTGCTCACTAGATCCAAATGTTTAATTTTTTCACGTTTTCCGTGCCATTTTTATCCCTGTTTTTTCAGCCCCTGCGATTTGGATGAGCAATACTTACTTAACATTTCGTTTTATCTTCGAACAATCGGCCTTGCATACAACGAATAAGCGGCTCAAATCCCTTCTTTTCTTCTGATTCAAGGAATTGTCGCCAGTCGTTCAAAACAATAACTGTATATACCGTCCACATCCACCTTTATATCCGATGTTTTCCTTGTGATATCAGCCCAAAAACCTGTTTCTTCTAATCATGTAATCTACGTCTTCCTTATCCTACTACAATGTCGCCAACTCATGATCCTCCATTCTCTTTCACGAGAGGTTTCATTATTGTAAAACCATCCCAAAGGCGCTTATTACGATAGGTCTTTTCAGTCTTTGTTCTCATTTTGTAATATGGCATTCTAATCGCCTTCCGATGTTTCCATAGTCTTTGCTTCCGCTCCGACACGCAACAGATCTCCCCCAAAACTGTGTACATATTCCCGCAAAAACATATGAAAATCTCAGAACTTACACATTTCTTCACCCCAGCGCATAATTTATTTTCTTGCGGTAGTATTGCTGTTATTGCCATTACACAAGTTTTTGTGATATTTGAAATAAAACGATGAATATGTAAATTTTACAATCGTCTTTAGTTTCGCATACGTGGGCTTGGCGAGATCTCAATTTCTGAAAATTTTAACTCGGGTTTTCGAAGAAGAGATTTTCAATAATGTTTACCGCAGAGAGAGCATTCGAGATGCAGAGAGTGGGCAGAGAGAAAAATCTTTTTGCGATATCTCCGAAAATTCCAAGAACTTCCTGTAATAAGAAAAACGTGCGGTCACTGTGTTCTAGAAACGTTTTCTGCAAACCCAGAAAATTCCCTATTTATACGGTATTCTGATTTCTTCATTTGTAGTTTCTGAATTTCTCACCGCCTTCCTGCTACGTGTATATATCGGCTTATGCGCAAGGAACATGGCTCTGTGGCTTGGTCGGTCCGCCCGAGCAAATTAAAGATAAAACACAGAGCAAAGACCGTTGTGTTTTTTGCAAGCACTGTAGAGAATGAATGATTGGTAAATTTTCGTTTAAAAATTTATTGTTAATGTTATGCAGTATCTCGTAATGAACGGAGTGCCATGTCTATCTGCGAGAGCCCCTTTCCGATTTTCTAGTCCCGAACCTTGAAACACCAACTCCTATCCCTTTACCATAACATAACCTAGTTTCATTTTGAAATCTCATTATCAAACCAAGTTTAAAGAACAATGTTGCCAACCGACTTATCTCGCGTTCAACTTCCAGAATACTCCGCAGTTTTAAGCAAAAAACTGTTTCGAAAACAGACTAAATCAGAGTTTATTGGGGTCTAGTTTAAAGTAGCTTTAGTCATCGGATGATGTGGTCGTTTTTTGCAGGCTAATGGAGCTTGGCCAAAAAATAGTGATGTTTCTTGTTTGTGAATTTTGGAGAGAAGGGTCAGCTTAAAATTGTGCGAATTTAAGGCACATAAAGCAAAGGACGAATGTTTAAAAAATGCTTATTGTTTTTTAGAAACACTATATGCAATAAACGAAGCAAGCAATAAACGTATTGTCAAAACTTGGAAAAGCTCACTTTTCTATGTTCATGGTGCGAATTTTAGCCCGGAAGTTGACTATACATTTTAGGAGATTGTTTGTTTTGACTAAAGCACAATCAAATTAGGTCAACTTGGTTTTCAACTACAAGCAATCCGCTATTTCCACAAGGGATTTACAACGGGTTCATTTTCCTTAGAAGGCAACTCCACCTCCGCAGATGACAGATTGAGTATCAAGTCAAGCATGGAACAATTCGCTGTGATATTCATTATTATTACCACTTTTTTCCTATCGTGGTATCGGCAAGCTCCACTGATTCTTCGGCCTCACGCAGAACGCTGTTCTCAATATGAGACAGAATTTGATCCTGTAGGATTTGGCCCATCGCCCGGCCCTCTACCTGGGTTTGGCCGCAATCAAAACCACTGTTAGTCTTTTCGTAGCCTGGCAGCTCGGCAGGATGGTCGCCTTCAAGTATAAACGGCTTTGATCCCCCTGGTTTTCGCGGGAAACAGCGCGGATTTTTCGTTCGAGGCCCACCATGGCTTTGAAAATGAACTATCACCCGGTCCGCTTCCAGGCTAGGACGATTTTAAGCCGCAGCAAGAGCATAGATAGCATTGTAAAAATTTTTATTATTATTGTTATTTTTTCAAGGAGGAACAAATTGTGGTGCTGACTAGTCACCGTCAGCAAGTGCGGCGATTCTCATGCGCACCAGCATAGGTTACATAAATTAGTTAGCCGGCAAAGTCAGCGATGTTTGTAGCCGAGAGATCACGATGGACGGACAGGGCTTTCACAGAAAAAATCTGGCAATTTTTCGCCACTTTCACAATAGCTATTTATCTTCCGTTGGAAACATTATTCTCTGTGATTGAAACAGGCATGAAGGTTTCGTGTCAAAATTCGCAGAAAAGCGTTAATTTTAGCAAAGTTTTTTTTCAAAATCTGAGCGTTACACTTGCAGCACTTCTGTGGTGAAACTGCCAACAGTAATCGAAGAATTTTTAGTCCACGATATTTTTGCAACAAAATATTACTTGAAAATCTTAAAATACCAAATAAAATAATAGTAAATATTTATTTTAATCCCATTAATTAATAACCGAACATAAAACATGTAAAATCAAGCAAACTATCAAATATTAAACACATTAAAAGATCACTTCTCATCAAAGAAGATAGGAGACCGGTTCATCTGGTAGTATGTGGAGTTGGGGTTGTAGAACTGGTGCATGTGTTCCTCGGAGTATTTGTTCATTGGTGGAGAGCAACATTCGCAAAGTAAAATCTCAGGAACAGGTTCAGTGGGCTCGGTGGGCTCGGATTTGAGATCCTCAGTCTTGATGACTTTTGGAGTTTCAGGACATGGGGGAACTGAAAAATTGAAGTTAATATAGTCACATAACGATACGATAAACACTGTTTGAAAAAAGGAAAACTGAAGGCAAACAATTACTAAATTCTTCTAGGCCAAATTATAACGAAATAAAATAATGACTTACCATTTTCCTTTTCCTCGCAGTCGCTTTCATCAGCCCATTTTTCAGGCCTGTCGTTGATGATTTTCTTCATCAGACTAGCATAGGTGTCCTTCTTGATCGTCACCTTTGCCTTGGCTCCCTTAGCGGACTTAGCGGATGATCTACGGGCGCGGCACATTGTAGAAAGGAGAAAAAACGAGGAGATAAAAGGGATCACAGCTACTCAAAGGATAGCAGATGAGAATGTATGAGAAATTCTTTGACAAAGTTTGTTTCTGAATTTTCTGCAGAGTGCGCAGAGATTTTTCTTGATTTTATTGCCTGACGTAATTTTCGAAGTTTTTGAGCAGAAGGTTTATTTTCTGTATTGGTTTATTGCGTAACAAGATCTACGATAGCATAGCACCTATTTTGAGGTACCTTACATGTACTCACATCAATAATATCTAAATAAAAGTTACGGATCTTGGTTTTCTGCCGAAAATTTTGGTATTTTGCAAGTTACAAAACTCAGAGTAAAGAAAACTACCAATAGTAATAGCTAAAATTAGAAAAGGTTGAAATATTGAAAGTCTTCGCCAAGTCTCCGCCGAGCCTTCGCCGAGTGTTCGTTGACCATCTAACTGGTTTTTTTAGACACTGGTCGCACTTGCTACAGCCTTTTTAGGGCATCAACCTTCCCTACAACCCATATCGATAGGCCTTGTCGTTGACCCGAACTGTCGTCGACTGAAAAAGTCGGGACGTGCTTTTTTAAAATCAATTCCAGGCCCTTTTTACCATAATATACGACTTTCCTTAAGACGATTTTATGTGCTCTTCAATATACCGAATTCTTTTCATATATTTTACATATTTATTTGGTTTTCTAAGGCGACTCAAGGAAAAAATTATTCACAGATTACAATCAAAAAACAAAGAGAAATTAAACCGAGAGAATAAGAGAAGTTGTGGGACACAAACCGAGAGTAAAACTAATATCAGATATGAGATGAGTCGACGAAAAAATATTAACATATTCAAACACAAAAATATTAACCGAGGTAGAGCCCAGGCCGACGAAAAAACACGGAGGGGAGGGGTCAATTTGGGGTGGAGGATTTGAACGACAAGGTAGAAAAGTGGTTGTATAGCTAGAATTGGGGTGAAAAAATGAATAATAACATTGTAGAATGGGAGAATTGTGTACACAATTGCACAGGGTGTGAAAGAAACTGCTATATTAGAGTGGAATCTGAAGGAATGTTGTGTGATAAGGTCGTATTTTAGGGGATCCAATTTTTCATATAAAATCCCAAACTTTCGATAATTTCTCTCAAAAAAATGTAACAATCAAAATGTTTCTTTACTTGAAAAAAAGGAAGAAAGTAATCTGGAAGGTGCTACATAAAGTTATCATTCAAAAAATAATAAATAATCAGCCTTATCACACGATTTTCCCTCAAATTTCCGCAAATTATGGGTGTTTCAACAAAATTAGAGGTAGATAACCGGTTGTATTAGTCATAAACAGTATTACTACCATACATTTGCATCATAGAACAGGTTTGGAAGACATTTACATTTTAAATATTTGGGACATTCAGGTGGGAGCTGGCAAACTTGGGACAAATTTCAGTTCTTAGGGCTCGTTCGATGTAAAACAATACAAGTTCAAATATCAGAAAAACTATTGAAATAAAACCAGTGTGTATACAATATTATGAGACATCATACCATCCAAGATATTTTGTGGTGTATAGGGAAAGGTTTGGATAGTGGATTATCATTTGAGTTCAGTCCTAACTAAGAGTTATTTGGTTATTCGGATTGACAAATATTCGGTGACAACTTGCGCTACTATACGTGCAATATAGTAGGGTTTTGTTGACATGAAAGACAGTGTAAGTATGTGGACAAGACGACATTGAAGTTATTTTCGTTGAGACTAGGAGCTATTTGATTGGGAGAGTGAGTTCGATGGTTAAAGCCGTTGATGGCTAGCGGAATATCCGGGTTATTTGGCTGCCAAGGCGGGTTCGTGGACCAGGTGCCTTTGTTGATTACTCGAACCAAAAATCAGGGCAGTCCAGAAGGGGTTTAGACCACATCAACGTCATCGTTGGCCTCCTCGTCTTCACCACCTTCCGACGATGAATGCTTATCCGAAACCATTTCAATGTTGTCTCCAATGAACTTCTTCAGATCCTCTGGTGGAGGACTCAGCTGTTGGACCGGCTGTGCTCCGTGTCCGAGGTTCGTCTGATTCATTGCCGCCATTGCCAGCAATTTTTGCAACTGCTCTTGCATATCAATCATGTTTGTTGGAGAAGTTGGGGTCGAAACGATTGGTTGAGGAAGGGTTGTTTGCGGTAAACTTGCTGGCTGCTGCGCCAGCCCCGCCGACTGCTGCGGGCCCTGTTGACATAAGAGGAGGAGCTGGAGAAGTTGCTGATTGTCCAGCAACCCTCCATTCGAGCTGATTGGGGTGTTCATCGGCATGGAGTTGATTGGGATCGGAGCGGCAAGGCCGGCCGAATGGGGCGGTGTTAGGTCGGTGGAAGAGGTCGATGAGAGCACCGGAGAACTGGCGTGAGAAGGGATCAGGTTGAAGGAGGGTGGTGACATGATTGTGCTCGTCTGCGGAGACGCCGAAGACACCGTAGCCAGACTGTGAATGCTCATCGGAGATGCGCGGCCGTCATGACCGTGGAAGGAGGCCATGTCCAGTCCAGACATGCCCATGTGGGCCAGAGTTGAAGTGGGAAGGCTGGCGCGAGGTTGAGAGAAGGCGGAGTGGTTGTTGACACTGCCAGTGGCGGCGGCGGAGTCTGAAAAAGGTAAAATAACCATCTGTAAACCGTAAATAACAGGTTAATCGTCATTGTTCTTTGCGTTAAATGCGTTCACTTCCCCTTGTTTGTTCCCAAATTATTCCCTCAGCACAGAATCTCTTAATGGTCCGCCAGCAGCTTAAAAATTTTATAATTAGTGCGCCTTTCACGGGGCCAGACAGTAAACACCTTAATTTCGATCCGAATGTTTCCACCCCGCGAATCTGCACTTTCCCCGCCCTTTTGCGTCAAAATAGAGACCAATTCCGGCTGCTGCGTGTCACACAGACATTGTAAAAACATGAAAGTACAACAATCTGCAGGCAAAACAAGCACCCCTTTAATATCGGCTCTACATTCATTCATGAGAGGCGGGTACGGTAGGAAGTAACCAAAGGGTGCTTGAAAACTTGTCCTATGTATACAAAAGTGACGGTGAAAATTGTTTGGCGTTTTATGAATTGATATCAGTTATTAGAATGGAACAACGGAGTTTAGGACGGAGTATTGTAGAAAGGTTTATGGGTCGGTTAAAATTTTGAGGGCAATGAAACACAATACATTTGGAAAGTAACCGGAATGGACAGGGAATTTTGTTTTATATAAAATAGAGCCAGAAAGTAAGGAAAACGTAAAATACGGGAGCTTAAATGGAGTAAAGATTTTATTAAAGCCATGTGTGACCCAACAAAAGCATGACAAATAGTTCTATCGGCAAAAAAATCAAAATTAACACAGCTAACAGGTTCAACCGCAGATTCACCCAATGTTTGTTTCTCGCCCAAAAACTTTTGCCCCAACTTACACAGCGCACTCAGTTGCGGGAATCCCGGCACTGGAACCGCAGCAACAGCTGCAGCTGCATTCAACGTGGCCGTAATCTTCTCTCTGGTCAAGTTCATCAACGTATCCTTGCGCTGTCGGCGACGGATCTTTATCTGGTCGGCCATCAGCTTCTGTCTTTCGCTGACTACTTGACATTTCGGGCAGTTGCAGTCCTTGAACGGGCAGACCCGCTTGTGGCCCTTCAGCCGCGACTTTCGGCCGTGCTGGCCGCATTTCTGGCAATTGGGGACGCGTTCTGAAAAAATAAATCGTATAAAATGGCAGAGAACACTGTAAAGGCCTGAAAAATTGATTAGAAGGATTTTAAAAATTTTTGGGCGGTATGGTATGAGATGATTTATATTATCCATGACACTCATTGATGGTTTGTGTCATTTATGATAAAATGTTTCGCTGAAATTTCGAGTTAATGTTCCCATCCCACTTTTTGACTGATACATGCGTTGATATTTCATTTTGAGAAAGAAATTTTTGATTTTTTATTAGAAAAAAGAGATTATTTTCAAAATTTTCACCTGAAATTTTATAAAATTTGCTGAAATTCGATTTAAAAATCAGTTAACTTCAAACTCCACTTACTCGTATAACTGACCCCCTCTTTGTAAGGCGGCAGACTCAGGAACGAGGCAGCATGGTTCATGGAGGGCGCCCCAAATAAAAATTGCGGCAAAGTCATGGCGATGGTTCAATGTTCAGATCAATGCACAAATTCTGAGATCGCGCTGGGGATGGCACTTTGTGGGGAATGTCACACAAACGCCGGAGGGGTTGTGTCACACAATGTTGAAAGATTTTTGTGGGACTGAAATTACGCCTGGGATTAGTCAAGAAAAAGGGGCGGAGTCGCGAAAAAATACGTGAAATCACGGAAATTGTTGGGGAAAGTGTCAAGGAAAAAGTTTAAGAATCAAAAACGCATGATCAAAAATCAATTGAAAAATAATAAAAAATATAAAAAACATTTTTTAACATGCAAAAAATCAAAAGAGAAGTTAACAAAGTAAACGCTTTTCTATTTAGGTCCAAAATAGGCCCTAAGGGCACAAATTTTTTTTTTGCAAAATGGAGGAGCTATTATTTCCGATGTTTTACATAGTGTATTTTGTAACTTTTGTTTTACCACAACCAAGATATAAACTTCGAAAGCCAAAAAAATAGGCTCCGCCCACAAAAAATGTCTATCATTTCTACGCCAGCTGGTTTTGTAGGTTTCAAAAAATCGTCTTCTTTGGCATTCAGAAGCACTGATTATCTCATAAAGAAAACGTGATGGGTTGAAAAGAAAAGTGACACTAATTCATGGGATTAATTGGATGATAAAACAAATAATCGAGGATATTTGGATGAATGAAAATCGTCAATATTTACCCGGCCTTTTGATGAGGGAGCCATTGAGCAGGGGAGAAGACGAATTGTGTTGTTGCAAACCGCTGCACAACAAACTGGAGATTTGGGAAAACGTCGGGTTGTATTCGAGTTTAATACAAAGACTGGCCGGAAGCCGCAAAGCCCCAAAGGTTTAGAACGGGTGGTTGTTCTTCGCGGATTTGGGCGCCGGTTTATGCACCGGACGCTATCGTATGGCATGGGATTTGGGAAAGAAGATTTCTTGTTCTTTTCAGGAAACACGTAAGCGATTTCGGTGAAGAAACGTTGCGAATGAAAGGAATGGTGAAATTGACTCGGCATTTCCGGCATGACAGATTATTGAGAGTTTTGCCATAGTCATTTTATTGCCATAGATCAAACTCAACTCATTTTAGAGATTCATCTTTTGGGCTCTGCGCAACCAGGGTATTTAGCATTTTTTACAGAAGAAAGACTAGAGAAAATGAAGAGAGATGGTGAGAGAACGAGACGAAAATCCGAAATATGACATAGAAAAGCCTTATCTTAACTGATGCAAATTTTCATCTAAATCAAATCATCTTCAAAGCAGCTACAAATTTTGGGGAGCAAAAATCATTTTTCGCTTTTTTTCAATTTCAAAATCCATTTTCATAGACATCATAACAATTTTAAGACTACTAGGCTTTCGATTGATAAACGACTAACATTTCAACCAAACCGCACCACCTCCTACATCACGAACACCATCAACAAACATGCATCGCGACCATTGCGTAACCAAGCCCGGTAACCCGGTTTCGCCGCCGCCGCCCCAACCAACACCACTACCACCACACAAAGCGGGGCTGTAAAAAACAAAATTCAAGTTGCCGCAAATTTGCGAAAACAGGCTGGCCGAAACTCAACACGCTTTTGTTTCGCGCGCACAATGCGGGAGGTGTAATATGCGAAAACAGAAAACCGTTACAACAAAAACGAAACTGGTATGCGAACAGTCTTTATGTGGGGTTTAATTGAGGGTGAATAACGGGGAGGAAGTTCCTGGAAAAAATTTTAAATTTCGGAAAAATTTGAATAAAAAATAAAAAATTAAAAAAAAATTCAAGTACCATGAAAATTAAGTAAAGTTTATTAAAAAACTTGGCATAAAGAGATAGCTTATGGTATGGGTTTTCTCCTCACTTCGGGATTTTTTGTTATCAAAACGATTTTTTAAAAATTTTAAATATTTTTCGGCAAAAAATTGGTTTAATTTTGAACCTAAAACATCATAAGTACTCTATATGGCTACCAAATAGCAATAGTGCAAAAAAATCCTTATAAATTGCAAAAAAATCATCAAAAATACAAAAGTTATGCAAAGTGGAATATCTACTTAATACTGACTCCCCATAAGCTCATGAAATGTCACAACATCCCTCGATCCATGCTCAATCGCACCCACAACCCGCACCGACCACCTGTGCCAGCCAGACGGTACCGTACGCCGTGCGGCGGTGCCGTAAACAAAGCCGGGAAAAAAAGAATTAACTGCAAAAATGCGTCTTCAACCGGCGAAAACACTCGACAAAAAACTTTGGATTGTGCTTAGTATAACTGTTACTCTCCCTCTCTCCTCCTCACTCAAACAAAAAACAACAGACTGGCTCCGCCCACCCGAATCTTTGACCCGTCCACTCCAAAAAACAAACGGCCGAACACCCGCAGGCACTGACTCCGCCCACTTTTTTTCGTCTTTGTCCATTTCTCTGGACCCTCCTCGAGGCGTGTTGTGTCTCCGGTGGCTCTCCACAAACCGCTTCGCCGCTGCTTGGCCCATTATTTCTCGGGCGCCCTCTTCGATTGGTGTTGTCTCTGGAAAAGCGGAAATTTTTAGTTTACGCGAATTGATGTGTTTTTGTATAGCGAACGTTTCTTTCGGGGGCTTTCAGAATGTTTTTTGAGGACAGAATGAGTCGAAAAACGGCCAACGGAAAGGGAGGAGAGGGGCGAGAGAAACAAAGAACGTGCGATACAATGGGAGACCGGGAATGCATTCGAAAAGGGTACGGTATTCAAATAAAGCAAGGTAGTAAGGAAAGCGCAAAATTATTGTAAAATACGAGCTTCTATTGTTTGTAGAAAAAATCAAAAAAACCCCTCGAAAAACCTCAAAAAGTATCCAAAAAAATTTCACTTTTGAAGTAAAAGAAATGCGTCTTTGGATCAAATTTTAAGAGAAAATGAACTTCTTGTATGTCAAAAATTTCGCTTCCATCAAAAAATCGCTTGTTTCAGAAGGTCTTTTCTTATCTTTCCTACCGTATTCTTCATTATCTTTTTTTTATTTTGACCCTACTAATAACTAATCCTTGTCGAGAGACGGCCGTATTCTTTTCTTTCCATCCGAAACATTCGCAAACATCACAATGTCTGCCGTTGTGCGGAATCCCGGCGGAAAACAACAAGAAAAAAGCAAAAGTCTGCAGACGGAGATTAAACACACAGAATGTGTCAATTTTTCGCGTTTTTCGGAACGGAAAGGCACGGCCAGACGGGGGGAGGGAAAGAAGAGAAAGACGATGAAGGGCTCAAAGATCGGGACGAGTTCACGTGGACTGATGTTTATCGCGTTTGGGAGTGTTGTAGGGTGATACCGACGCGGAATGTTATTGATTTTTGCTGAAAAACATCGCTTATCGAATCTTCGTTAATTACCCAAAAAATTGTCTCAGAAAAATTGTTAAAAAAATCAGTCAGTTTTCTGTCTCTGTGATACTTTTTGATCCCAATTTAGAGCTGAATTCGATCGTATTTGGTCCCTTTTTTGACATGAATCTCTACGACTTTGTGAAAATTTTCATTCTGTTTTAAATCGTATCTTAAAAAAACCTTTTTATGTCATAATGACATATTTTTTTATTTTTGGTCACTATCTCAACACCTATCCCAAAAAAACCTCCAAAAACTATTTATAAGGTCCACAGCACCTAGCAGTTGTCATCACTCTGCAAACGAGACATCACCCAGCTCAAGGAGAGAGCAAAGAATGCCCAAACGAGACGAAAATAATCAAAAGAATTGTTTTCGCCGCAAAACAAACGCCCGGATTTGTTCTCCAGGGAGAACAATTCATCTTCCCGTACCGATCAAATAAACATGATACCAGCACTGCATAACAACTCTGTTATGCAAATATTTAATTGTTTTTTGGGACCATGCACGTTTTCCGGTAAATTTGGCAAGAAAGGATCATTTGTTTGAGAAAACAAAGATTTTTCAAAGTTTTTGAAAATTTGCATATTTTTTCTCACTAAAATCGCAAAATCACATAAAGAAGGCCCCCAAAAATCATCAAAACTCCCGGACACGGGGTTTTGTCGATGATTTCACGCAAATAAAAGTGATCAAAGCTCTCGAATAATATGTTTACAATCGAAAGTAAACATATTTTTGAGAACAGTGTTTCAAGTCATGTTTCAAAACACTTTGTAATTTGTGCTGATCCTACTCCTAAATGATCATCAAAAAGCAGAAAGGAAGTGTGTCTTTTTCGTAAACAGCAGCGATAAATTGGCATTGTAACAAGAGAAGTGATCAGAATGCGTCATAGAGGGAGATATGGGGGAATGATGACGTTTACAGCTTGAAGCGATATTGTAAACAACATAGATGGAATATGTAGGTCACAGTGGGCGGTAAGGAAGGAATTTTCTCTGCTTTTAGGCTGCGGGGCTACTGTACCGCCAAAAAATATATTGTTTTAAAAGTGTTAAAATATCCACATTTTCTATGGGCAAAGAAGTATTGTAAGTATAAAAATTGGCACTCTATGATACCGTTTGCCGCACAGAGACTAATTTTAACTCAACTAATTACTCAATAAGTCCCTAAGTCCGCCAGATGACACCTCAACGATCAACGAACATCCCCGGAGTCATACCCCAACGCCGAGTTGCCTTGTGTTCGCTGATCTCCGACGCCTTCAAGTACAACAACCGACGAACGGAGGTCGCGGGGACGAACAGACAGTTTGCAAATCTCTGAGTATAATAAATAAAAGTGCACGTAAACAGCGCCCACAGTAACATCATATTCGAACGGGAGGATTGAAGAGACAACGAGGGTAGGGGATTAAACGGATGATCAGATGACTGTATGCTGATATCTAGTTGACAAAAAAAAGGAAACGGCTTACTGTAGGAAACTAAGAAACCCGGAGTGTAATGAAATCGGCACAAGGGAGCTTGTCACTTTATCTGGGGTGATTTACCACACGTGGGATTTATTAAATAACCGGAAACCAAAAGATAATTGGAATTTTTACTCGAAAAGACCGTAAACTTG